TTAGAATAGGAGACGTAGAGACACTATTCTGGAATATTAATGGCCATATTGGCTATCAAAAAAACTCTGCTCTTGTTCACACCCACAGCCTAACAGCACCTGTGTTACCTGCTTAGCCTTCCTCTTTAAGGAAGGTGGGTCTGGTGAGTTTGCTGTATCTTGTTTATCTTTTATTATTTTGTATGTTCTAAATAAATATAATTTCCCCATGTGTAAGGGTTAGTTTAGTTACTTTAGTCAGTGTGTAGATTAGGTCAGACTGCAGTATAATCCTTACTGAAAGGCTGTGTGTTGTGTGTCTCTGTTCATGTAACCTTACTACAGAGTTGTATTGTACTCTTACAGCAGCGTTGAAGCTAACTAGTTAGCAGCTTTGAGAGGTTAAAAACGGGTTCTCCCAAATACATTTTGGAGCCGGAAGCTGCACACAATCAGATGATTAATAATGTTTTCCCTTGTGATTGTTTTTCATGCAAAAGTAATGACTTTTTTCAACTGTATTCAGGGAAGGTTCACATAGGGCCTGTCCTCACGAATACTTTTTCTCGATTCCAGATAAATACTTTATCGTATCGGCCTCACGTCCAGACGAATACGGCGTTTTCGGGGTGTGAAAACGCTATTTTTTGGAAACGGGTCCCAGAGTGGGAAAATCCGGTGACGGCGAAAACGGATTAGCCCCGCCTCTCTAGCCTTTAACCTCAACCGCCACCGCTAGACGCGTCATAACAACAACTACAACAATGGCAGACTACTACTACTTGTTTGTAAACAGCACTCCATGGCTTCTCTTCCGGTTTTAGTGTATTGCTGTGGCGGCTTTACAGCGCCACATACAGGCCTGGCATATGTACTACAGCATTTTGGGTCGTTGTCAGGGAATCCGTGTGGACGCAGATATTTCTGGAAACGACGCCGTGTTTACGGAGATTTTTTTCTAAACAACATCGTATTGGGTGAGGCTGCGTATTAGTGAGGACAGGCCCTTAGAGGAACCCTCTCTTTTGCAGGAACGCCCTGATTACATTCACACACTGATTGCCTTGTAGCTGCTATCTAGCTGGCTTTTCACAGTGTATCATTGACATCATGCTATTGTGGCCAGCTAGTTGGTTTGACAACAGACACACTGTACAGAGTTTTCATTTTGTTTCACTTTGAAATGATCTCAAACCATGGACACTTTTTGTTGTTTTCTGTGGTTCTCTTGTCTTGGCCCCTCACTATTTTCTCTCTTCAAAGCACGTTGTTCGACAGTAATAATCACTCGTTTCATATGGTTATATGAATTAAACAAATGTGATTGTTTCTTAAGGAATCCTTTCAGCCCTAGCTGTTATTAATGGATCTGTATGGTAGTCTGAGGAGCATACTAAAATAGAGTTTTTGCACAGTTATGAATCATTATCATCGTTTAGTTCCATCACAGACTGTCACATAAATGTAATTTTCACATCTCAGGAGCAGAGGCAAACCATTGCATTGTGGAATGTATACTAAAAGCAGTGTTCATGTTATGTGCACTGCACTTATTGTTGTATTGTGGGATATTTTTTAGGGCACCGTATTGTGGGTAATTTGTACACTTGTATTGGACATAGCAATTTGGAAAGTAAATACTGCAGTAGGTAACAGGTAGGGAGTGATTGAACAGCCCAGATGTCATGTGAGTTTTCTTCAACAGCAGCTTCTCTATGCACTCTGTCTCTAAGCTGCTCGAGGTGAAGCACCCTGGCAACAGTTGTTTTGTGTTTTAGTTGCTGCTAAATCACATTAATATGTAGAGATGTGTATTTATGTTGACATACCTAAATCCACTGTGATTAAATGTTGTTAATCAGTGTAATATTGAGTCCATGAGGTAGGTTAACATTTCTATAAGCTCTTTATCTTCATGTGCATGACATGTCTATTTTTGCTCTTTCAGAATGTTATTTGATGCTTAGAAAACTTTCTGTGCTGAGCTCTGTTCAGACGAGGTGTGGCATGTTGTGTGTTCCTTCCTTTGAACCACTGTGCATATGTTCTTGATTTGTTTCTCCCTTTCTATATGAAATGTACTCGCTATAATACCCTAGAGATTAGATATTAAAGGATAACCAAAAGGCTTATTTTAGGACAGTACAATTCATGCAAGCCTGCCAGTGCTTAACATTGTCAGAATTATAGTTAAAGGAAAGAGGGGAGAGAGAGTTATGTGAGAGATAAGAGAGAGAGAGAGGGTCTCCTTTGCTGTTCATTTTGTGTGTATGTCCCTCCCCCTTGGACTTGTCTCCAAAATGGCCTCTGTTCTAGTGGAAGTGAAAAGACTTTGTTGAGCCTGCTGGTAATTTGAGCCCGGTATTCATGGCCAGAGGAACGAACAAGGAAGGAAGGGAGGGAGGTGGTGGGGGAGGAGGATGAGGGAGGGAGGGAGGGAGGTAAAGAAAGGCTTTCCTTCTTCGTATGGAATTTACCTCCCTGGTTCACCGTCTGGTTCTTTTGGAAGAGGCCCAAATAGTGACTCCCTTTTGTGAATTAGGTAGGAGCGAGGTGGCTATTTTTGTAAGGCAGCGATCATCCAGAGGGATAATAGTCAGCCAGTGGTTTTTGAAAATGCTCTGGATGGGGCACCAAGTTTGTCTTAGTATGTTACAAATTTGTGTTAACCCTTCATGCCCCCTTTCATACTGTTCTCTTCTTGATTTATTTAATGAGTCATGCTTAAAGAGGAAGAGTTTTGAATAACCAGGATCTACCCTTCAGTATCTGTCTCAGTATACACATACGTGTGTGTGTGTGTGTGTGTGTGTGTGTGTGTGTGTGTGTGTGTGTGTGTGTGTGTGTGTGTGTGTGTGTGTGTGTGTGTGTGTGTTCGTTCAGGCCATTTGAGTTGTAGCAGAATGTTCTCCTAGCTGACATTTCTTGTTGCTACCTACCAGTGTGTATCCAGCTGGATGGGGCTGACATTCTCCATTTGACAGTGAGCATGGCTGAACTGACCTTGACATTATTGGAAGTCCCCAGCCTTGCTGTGGTTGCCTTGGTGCTGGAGAGCGAGGGCAGCAGTCTGTGTAGCCAGGGGACCACTACAGAAATGTCATGCATCCTGTTGCTCGGTATTAGTAAACCAGCCAAGGTTTGAATGTTAGGGGTTATTTTGTGTTGCGTAAGAGAGGTGTTTGCTTTTTTAGACATGTATTGTAGTGAATCTGATTGTTTTGTGAGGTAACGTTTGCGTGTACTTGCCCCGGGGATGACCTTGCTATAAGCCAAATCCTCTCCTCAGTGAGTGTGAACGGAGCACAGGAGGGCCTGTTCCTCTCTGCAGCCGTGGCTGCTGTCTCCAGCTCTGCGTCTGACTGGGCGGCTCAGCCAGTGTGCAAGGCGGGGAGGACAGAGAGGAAGAGAGAGCAGAGGAGTGTGGGTCAGTGTTTCAGCAGAGCATAGTCACATGACAAGAGGGTCGGGCCTGTTGGATGACTCATCCCTCCAGGCGTCTGGGAAGAAGGCGCCTCCTGCTGGTTCCCTTTATCAGTGCACCCTAATGGGAGGCTCAGTGTCAGAAGAGCTGTAAAGCCCCTAGTTGTTTTTCTGCTCTTTGAATAGCCCCCCCCCCTCTCCTCCTCCATGCTGGAAGCCTCTCTATGGGTGAGAGACAGGCCTATCGCATCATGTCTGTATCAAGTTATCATTTCAGATGCAGGCAGATGAAAGCACTCTGCTGCTTTGCACAGAAAAGCCTTCTTTGTCAACATGAGTCAGCAAAATTTGTTCTTCCTTCGGCGTGTAAGGATGGTTTGTTATTGGTTACGTGGACATGACAACCCCCTGTCAATGTTCAACTGAGACAGCTGTTGTGACCTTTAGTAATGGGGCCCTGTCTATATGTGACTGGCCTTCATTTGCTGTTAATAGTCATTTACTAGAATAATATAGTATGTGGAATTACTTCAATAATATGCAACAAATGTGAGTGTGAATTTTCCTCTAGGGATAAATAAAGTATTTATCTATTAGGCCCTTTCCTTTCCCCAAGGTGACCTGCTATTGTTGAACTGGCTTGGAGATGACACTGCTGTGTTCCTTAGAAGCACAGGTGTAACTGAAAGCATTATTAACAACTGCATTCCATCTAGTTTCATTTCCACTCTCTGCTTTGTGCATTCTGGCTCATTTGAATAGTTTATTAGTACATTGTTTATTACACCTTGGGTTTTGATTGGGCTTGGAAAATCAAAGCTCTAATTACACCTGTGCTTTTCCTGCTATGACAACAAGTAACAATCTCTGCCATGAAAGTGGTCTATGTTGTGTTCTGATAAAAGATCTTCAAATACTGCACACACAAAGCAGGGTTCAACATTAATGTTATCACTTGCCCAATCAGGCAAATCTGCTTGCCCAAAGTGATTTTTATTTTTTTACTCGCCCCTATAGAAGTTGTTTTATTTAGTACTTAACTTTGAAGCTTTTGAAATAAAACCCCGTTTTATACGCCTTGCTTTCAAACTTGCAACAGTAAATACATAGCTGGAGTTTTGCCCTCATCCTCTAATGCCACCCAACTAAACTGTTGCGTTGAAATGCTCACTTGCACGTCAGATAAAAATATTTTCTTTACCCGATGCCATTTTCTGGTGAGTGCCCGATCGGTGCAACTCTTAACAGAGATGAGAAGGAAGCAAGATGGCTCACTCCATAGCTCCTTCCATCCAGCTTTTTTCTTATTCTTTTTTATTAGGTTGACAAACATTTTCTTTTGTTTAGAATGAATTTAATGAACTATCTACTATATGTAATATGTTGAATGTAAACACAGATGATGTATACACACAATGTTCACTGTCAGGGGCATCAATCCAAAATATATCACTCATGCACTTAAAGACACTGGCCAGGGAAGTGCAGGTTTTTTCCATCATATCACATGACACGCTGAGTCATGTAGCAACCTTGTTTGTCAGCACTCAGGTGTGTATAACTGATGGTCTCTCTGTGTGTTGCCCCCTCTCTCTCAGGTCCCCCATGACCGTGAGCCGTGGGCTACGGCTCGGCGGCGCCCCACCTCTGGAGTGGTCTGTTGCTCTAATTGGGACCCTGTGATTCCTCTTCTCACCTTTCCTCCTCCCCCCATCCCATCCTGTCCCTCCCCTCCCCCTCCCCTCCCTCCCCCCTCTTCCCCCTCTCCCACGCGTCGCTGTGCTGGACGTCATGAGCATAGTAATTACGCTGGGAGTCACCACACCTGAAACGTCTTACTCAGATATGGCTGCTGGATCAGAGTAAGTAGTCACTACCAGCTGGATGGGACTAAAATAGTCGTGCCCTCCTCCTAAAGAAAGATTCTCTTTGTTTGCAACCTGGGTCTTGTTTATGGTTTTGCTGTTGTTTCTCGTTCTTTTATTGTCCAACTTACTTGCTGATATCTGTGGATGTGTGGAACATTGCTCAGATAAAGCAGTGTCACAGGTTGGAAATAAACTTCCTGTTTAACCTGATCATTTACACCACCTGAATAGCTCCTGTAATGCAGTTGCTAATGCAGATCTGAATAAACAAAAAAAAGACTTGTCTGGAATGGAAACCAAAGGTAAACAATGACTTGTTTTCTAAACTTAGAAATAGAAATGTCCCATTGTACTGAGCAGCACCGACCTTTGACCTACTCTGTGTACATAGTTGTACATGCTCCCAATTTTTAAATGCAATGGAGCTTTTTAATGAACATTGCAGCTGTGTTCACTCTATTTTTCATGTCTATCTAACCGCTATGGATAATATGGTAAACTGGGGGTTTAACAACCTGTGTGATTGTCTGATCACTTCTGTTACTTGCTCCCATGAACTCTGTTCTGATGATGTTGCCACATCCCCAGATCTTACCAATCAAGCAATAAGGCGGGTGAAGAGAAAGTCATCATAATCAATAGCCAAAAGTAATCAGTGGCCTAAAATATGAAAATAATTGGATAGGAATTTTCCTTTCCTGTTCAGTTACAGGTTTGGTGTCGGTAATCTGCAAGGGTTTTTTTTTGTTTTTTTGGAGGTCCCAGCGATTCCCAGCTAATAAATAGATTAATTTATTCCCCATTGGAAAATGTATAAGAAATATTGTTGTGATAGGTTTCAGTCTATGATTACCTCTTTAATAGAGTAGAGTTGCAATCTTTTGCCCAAAGCAACACACTATGTCCATGCAACGTTGCTGAACTCTTCCCCTTTGTTCACATTTCTCTACAACTGTAGCACCTTGGGTTGTGATTATATGCTTCCTTCCAATATCCTGTCAGCAGTTTTCTGTCTTCTCCACAAAGTCTGCTGGAGAGACCCGAAGAGATGGGAAGTGCAGTCCACCAAAGACTAAACTTTCCCAGACAGAAATAAAGGAAATAACAGTATGTGATGCTTCAGTCAGGCTGGTTGCACATGAACTCAAAACCGTCTAAAAATGAAGCAATGTAACACAGACTCCTGTATAGGGCTGGACGATGAACAAAAATACCACTACTGGCATTTTGTCTTCCCTATTAAAGCCACTTCAAATTCAGAAATGTCAGTGATTGCAGTTAATTCACTGTATTACAGTGTCAACACAGTGAGCAGAACATGCTCACTTTTATTTTTATTAACCAGAGAATTTGCAAGGCTGTTGTTACTTAATTTGAAACTATCACTATATTAAGTGATAGTTTGAATAGTCGCACTGGGTGCAGTGTGTAACTGGCCTGCGCAACTATATATTCTTCAATATTGAAAGAAAGCGCAAATTGTTGTTTAGAATGCTGATAAAGGTTTCAATTATCTTGTAATCATTTGTGTCTGGAGGGACAGCCCACCCTCAGGAGCCTAATTATCATCTCTGTAATTGTTTTTATTATTGTGATCACTGTTGATTCTGTATCGTCCAGCCCTCCGTCTGTGTAAGGGAGGTAGACTTTATATCGTTATCTCCACATCAGGCCCTCGTTGTGTAGAGTAGTGTCTGAGGAAATGTCCACAGACAGCCTAAGTAAGAACAGTTGCCACTTCTCTGTAGGTAAGCCTGCTTACGTGACTGAGGTTATGTGGAATGCAGTTGGTCCCTCTCCCATCCACCCCTGTTCACAGCCCCCTTTAGTTTCCTCCAAACCTCAGTCAGAAGGATTGATTCTAACACACGAGAAAATGCGCCGTCTCTGCTGAGATATACAAAATCTAGCAATTTAAATGTAAAATTTTTGTCATTTTGATTCTTTTGACATTTAAGTTTGCTCCAGAAATGGAGGACCAGGGGGGAAAGGCAAGGTTGTTCACTGTCTGGCCAGACCTCAGTTAAAGGGCAAAAGGAGTTGCATAACATAATGGCGGCCCACATTCCATTTCCTAAATTGCTGTTCTCCCAGACAGGAGAGCAACTTTAGGGTCTTGGTGCCATCTAGTGACTGATTGATGTCTTTTATTGTAACAGTTGTTTACACAACAGCTCTGAAAAAGCATAGTGGAAAGTGTCTACTCTTTTTTTATACATGTAATTCCTGTTTTATTTTTATTCCTCTAAAATAATCATTTTTGTTTATTTTCCAGCCCTGAGTCAGTTGAAGCAAGCCCTGCCGTGAATGAGAAAAACTACAACAACCACAGCTGTGGGAGCGCACAGAGTCATGGGTATCGGGGACTACCGTATGCTGTGAGTTCATACCGTTTTCTAATCATCAATTCTAATCATTGCATGTCTTATTGTATGAAATAAGTATTGCCCTCTATTAATCAAAGATAAGTTTTCTACAATTAAACATTTTAAAAGCTAAAATAACTCAGTTTGAACTATCCAATCTTTTCTTGTTTTCTAATCTTTTCAAATTCCTCGTTCTATTAAAGTAGAACAGTAAGAGTAAAACTAAGGATTGGTGGTGCTCCTAGTTTGATCAAATACATGAATGTCTATCCTACTTTTAGTCTTCTGTAACCACATACTACTTCGTTATTAACAGCTGTACTGTTTCACATACCTGTTTTTTTGCCCTCATTTTCATTCGTCTCCATTTTCCGTTTCCCTTTTTTGCCTGAACACCCGTTGTTTGAAGATGCAACAGTCTTCCGTTGTGTGTTGTCAGGATCACAACTATGGCGCGCCCCCTCCCCCTACCCCACCCGCCTCCCCGCTCTCCCAAACCATCATTCCCCGCATGGATCTCAACGGCGTGGTACGCAGCTCCCGCTATCACGAAGCTAATGAGGACAACTCAGCCGACAGCGACAGCTCCTCAGAGGAGGATGGGGCTATGGCCAGCTGGTGTCACTGCAGCCTGACGCCGGATGGCCTGCTCATCAAATGTGACAACTGCAGGTGAGAGATGAAAACCTGCCCAGGTTGGATCTTCCATCTGCTGTGTCAGGTGACAATTTGTAATGACCAGACCTTCCAAACTGTCCTGGAAGTTTATGAGAAAGGACCGTGAAGTGCTGTAAAACAAAGTTCTGGCATTTGGAAGAGCAGTTGTTTTTTTTTTTTTAAATATTTGTATTGCCTTTATGATAGTGACAGCTGAAGACAGACAGGAAAGGGGGACAGAGAGAGGGGATGACACGCAGCAAAGGGCCGCAGGTCGGATTCGAACCCTGGGCCGCTGCAGCAAGAACTCAGCCTCGGTACATGGGTCACCAGCTCTACCCACTGAGCTCTCAGTGGACTTTTTTTATTAGATAAACTTATTTTTGTAGAGTCTGCCTCTGGTAGTGTGACCACATTCGACATGTTGTAAAACCCCTCAAGTGTCATAGATCAAAATGCAACGTGGAGTATTCATTTCAGTACTCTCTGTCCATTTGTCAGCTGCATATTCAAATAAAAATATCTGTGTTTGTCTCCAAACCTCAAACAAAATGTGTTCAAAAATCTGATTAATTGTTTAGTCGCTGCCTTTTAGTCTGTTCTCTTTTTGTTTTAACAATGTCATGTTTTGTATCAGTGATTTGACTTCATGTTTTTCATTTGACTCATGACCCATTATACCTCGTGCACTAACGTGTTTTATTGCTTTTTGGTTGCAGGGGACTCGACAGGAGGAAAGGAGCAGAAGGTCAACACAGAAAAACAGAAAATGTCTCAGGTACATTGTCTTTGTCTTTATTTGGTATTTGGTAAATTAATGTTCCTATAGTAGTTTGTAAAGTGCTCAGTTAATTTCCCCATGATATCTGATGATTTGTTTGTTGTTGTTTTGTAGCTGGAGAGAGCAGTGCCACAGAGAGTGGCGACGAAGAGGTGTCACCCTCCACCATCTCCTACACTGCCACCCAGCACACGCCCACCAGCATCAAACTTACTGTCAACCGGGTCAAAAGGAGCAAATCCAAAAAGAGGAAGAAGAGCACGGAGAAGGCCCGTGGAACACCAAAGGGCAAGAAAGTCAAGGTAGACTAAAGAAATAGATGAACTCTAAGATCAAAACCCAATATAGAACCTCAGTGGCTGTTTAACATGTCTTTGTATTGATGTGGGTTATTTTTCTTCTTTCAGGCTTTCAGAGAGGGTTCTAGGAAGTCCATGAGGATGAAGGTAAGATTGAAGACATTTATGTTAAGTTTCAACTCATTTCTCTCAGCCTCGTGCTTCTCCTTTTCTGTAAAGAAAAACTCTTGTCACAACCTACTCCGTCTTTCCTTCTGCCTAGAACTCAACAACAGAGGCCAGCGTGTTGGATGAGAACACAGCAGAAGGATGGGAGAGCAGGATCCGCCAGTGGACGGACCAATATGAGGAGGCTCTGGCCAACCAATACAGTGCAGATGTCCAGACACTTCTCCAGCTTCACCGCGCTGCCACCACCACCGACTCAAAGGCAGAGAGCGGCACCACAACGCCTCCTTCCACCACACAAATCCACGCCTCCGTCGACGCCATGGACACCATCAACCGCACCGAGCTAGCCTGTAACAACACAGTGCTGGGCTCACAGATGCAGGTCAGCCCGAGTCCTGATACACACTCAATATTGAAACAAATGCAATTAGCCAGTAACAGTGACTGACTAAGAAAATAAGAGCAAGTTAGCTCTGCCTAACTAACTAGTCACAACTGTGTAACCATACCATAATACAACATGTATAATAAATTCCTGCTTTTGCCAATAAGCAATTTATTTGCTGCTTGCAGCTACAGTTGGGCAGGGTAACGCGGGTTCAGAAACACAGGAAGATCCTCCGAGCAGCCAAGAACCTGGACCCAGACACACTCATCATTGAATATCGGGGAAAGGTCATGCTCAAACAACAGTTTGAAGTCAACGGGCACTTCTTCAAAAAGTAAGAGATTGTGGTACATGTACCATTGGACTACTTTCAGTATTTTGGTCCACAGACAGCTGGTTATATTGTGTTATATGTTGTGTCTGCTTTTGATACCGTTGTCATCATTTTTCCAGACCCTACCCATTTGTACTCTTCTACTCAAAGTTTAATGATGTAGAGATGTGTGTTGATGCGAGGACCTTTGGAAATGACGCACGCTTTATCAGGAGGTCCTGTACACCCAATGCTGAGGTCAGCCGTTAAGCTTTTTTTTGTTTTTGTTTTTTTTTAAATCGAAATGCTCAACACTTGTGTCTGTGCAAGTTTTCATTTTATCAGGTTGCTTTCTTTATATTTTTTTCGTTTTGCATGTGTTCGCTCTCCCAGGTCCGGCATATGATTGCTGAGGGCATGATCCATCTGTGTATCTATGCCATCAGTCAAATCACAAAGGACGCTGAGGTCACCATTGGATTCGACTACGAGTTCAATAGCTGGTCAGTACTGCTCCTCAACCCATATCTCTCTTTCCACCTCCCTCTTAAACCAGCACTAGAAAACAACACGGGTCAAATCCAACCATCTATACAACATTCACATCAAGTATAAGTGCTTATAGTCCACTTCCTGTCTAGAAACACACAGTAGATATGAAGGCAATCATGTTAGTTCTCCTCTGTTTGACCTAAAAATTGTTTTGCATATTGCTGCTGCACAATGTCTGGTGTTCCATCTCGAGTCTGATCTTCTCCTCTCCCATAACAAACAATCAGTAATTACAAAGTGGACTGTGCCTGCCATAAGGGCAACCAGAACTGTCCGGTGCAGAAGCACAACCTGAGCCCCAGGGAGAGCTTGCTGAGTCCTCCCTCCCTGCCACCTCCCTCCCCTCTGGTTGGCGCCGAGACTCGACGAAGAAAAGCACGGAGGAGAGCGCTGGAGGGCTGCCTCAGTGGTGATAGCAACCAGACCCTGGACCAGCACCAGGAGGCCAAAGAACTGCAAGGGACCAGTGATACAGAGGTGTGTGTGTGTGTGTGTGTGTGTCTGTGTGTGTCTGTCTGTCTGTCTGTCTGTCTGTCTGTCTGTGTCTGTGTCTGTGTCTGTCTGTGTCTGTGTGCGCTTTGCTTGTAATGCCTGCTGGGTGAGATGTTCTCCTGATGTGCTGCCTGTCTGTGCCGTTAGGAGAGACTGCTGGATGAGGTGAAGGTGGAAGAGGGAGAGGAGGGAGAGGTGGATGAAAACGGGGTCACCATCTCCAGTAAAAAAGTATGACATTTAAAATATTTTCCAGTACAGCTAGATATTTTTGTTCTGTGTGATGAGCAATACATCAGTAATTCAAAAGACAAAATGACACTGCCTGTCTAACCCCCTTCCCCCCCCTTGGGTCTCTGCCTGTTCATGAAGACATGTAACAGTTTGGAAAGGAGGCGGAGGAGAGTGGGAGGAACAGAGGTAAAAGAGGAGGGTGTGGAAACTGAGGACGGGGCAGGAAACCCCACAGTGAACACCCCCACACCCCAAAACACTGGGGTCAGCACACGACGCACCACCTATGTCATGGTCAGTGAGAGGAATCGAGTTGATCCGTCAATCGTTTTTTGTTGTTGCGTCTTATTTAACCTCTTGTTTTTCTACATTCTCTTACAGGAAGCACCATCTATTGAAGAAAAGACATCATTACCCAACCTGCCCGCCCCAGTTGCCCCCCCTAAACCTGCACGACCCACCAAACCTCGACCCAAAAGTCGGATCTCTCGCTACCGGTCAAGCTCATCCCAGCGTGCCCGGCGACAGCGTCAAGCCCATGCCCAACAGGTAGCGGCTGCTGCAGCCGCTGCCATGGGAGCAACGCCATCTTCAGCCGATCAGGGTGCTGCTCTCGACGAAGAGGGCTCACAGGGTCCATATGGCGCTGAACATGGCCACGGAGAGAGTGGTCTTGGGGGTCATCTCCTAGATGGAGATGTCCAGGGTCTAAACTGCATAAATAGAGGCAACTTGCGCTACCCCAAGACCAAGAAGGTTAGAGGACATTAAATTTGTAGAAATGTGGCTGTTTTAAGATGGAGTTAACTTTTCCTAATCATATTTATTATTTTGTATAGTTGATCATTAATGTTTTACTTTGCTGTCAGTACCTGGTGACAGAGTGGTTGCATGACAAGGTCCCTGGAGGAGAGAAGGTCCACCAGGAGGTACCCGTCGAGCGCCCGCTGCGGATAACCACTGACCCCACGGTGCTGGCCACCACCCTCAACATGCTGCCAGGCCTCTCCCATTCGTCGCTCATCTGCACCACACCCAGACACTACGTCCGCTTCGGCTCCCCCTTCAACCCCGAGAGACACCGGCCCCGCCCACTCCAAATGGATGGCACTTATGGCTGCTACAAGAAGGTGAGAAATGCAGCAAAGTATTATAGGGTGTATGTTTGTAAAATATAACGTATATAAATGGGTATATCTTTAGTGAATTCACATTGAGTGTTACTGCTGTCAGAAGCCTATAAAGTATATCTATATATTCGTAACTTGAGTATTTTTCTGAGAACTTTTTACTTTTACCCACTACATTTTTACACAAATATCTGTAGTTTCTTCTCCTTACAGTTTGAAAACAGGCTAGCTACTTCTTAATTGAATTATCAATTATTATTTTTTTGCACACCTTTCCAACATCAAGATCGATGCATATCATACATGATGAAAAAGATGTAATGATGTAACAAGTTGAAACAGACAAGAGAGGGAGACGTGATCCTATTTGAAGTTTCAGCTTTGCACAGAAACAACCGGTAGAAATCTTCTTCAGATAAACCACTTACTTTTATACTGAGTACATTTCAGTGCCTGTACTTTTTCACTTTTACTTGAGTAAATAAGTTGAATCAGTGCTTTTACCTTTTACCGTCTTTTTATTTTACACAAAGTATCTGTACTTCTAATTGAGTAAAGAATGTGTGTATTTTTGTCACCGCTTCACCTCTTGAGACCCATTTTAAAAGTCTTCAGATTTTGCACTTCACCATTCAAAAGACATTTTTCTGTTCAGTTTTCAGTTTTTCAATTGTACCTTAAATTATAATAATAAGAACAACGAACAAATTGTATTATAAAATATGCTAAATTCTATTGTCCAAACTTTTTTTACTTTTTAATAAAGATTTTGAAGACTTTCAGAGGTACTTAGTTAAATTAAATTATTATTTTATCTGATCTTGAAATTTAAACAAATGTCTGTTTTTGCTTTTTACGCTGACATTGCTGTTGTTTTGATACAGAGATGGATAAAGCAGTTGGAGGACGAGAGCTGTTCAGCCAGTGTGGAGGATGGCACAGAGTCCACCTCGTCCCAGCAAAGCACCAGTAGCAGATCCACCCCTAATCCCCTTTCCAGCGGTACGTACATCAACACTTCCATCTGGATGACTCATTTACTGCTGCATATTCTTCAATCACCAAAGCTAGAGGAAGAATGAACTATAGATCAGAACTAAGCAACGGGGATGTACTGTTACTATAAGTACAACTAACTGAAGAGTTCTTTATGTAATTGCTGTCATGTGTGTCAATACCTTCCTGATACTAGATGTGTATTTCCTGTTTTTTCAACTCACTTTTATGTTTTCCACATTTTATGTTTTTAAAATCACAGAAGTCAACGCACCGTTTAAGAAGCGCCGCTCAAAGTATTTGGCAGGGACGACACCAACACCCTCGGACCACCTGCTCCGCCCGCTGTCACCTATCACACCACCGCTCCCAGAGGACTCCCTCCACCCGCTGCTCCACACCCCCTGTGGCTCCCTGCTGCCCAACGGCCTGGCCTACTCACCCATGCCCTCACTGCCCGCCAGCCGCTGCAACACACCGCTGCAATTTGAAGTAAGGGATAGCAGGGACACAGTTTCTGGTACTTGTCTGTCAGAGTTCACATAGTAAATCCAATAATATCCATTTCACTTGGTAAACTGCACCCAGGTGTTCTGCCATCTTTTTGTTTCCCATATGAGCGCATCCATCTCAGACAGCTCAGTACATTAGTGAAGTAATTGCAATAAAATAAATGTTGGTTTGTAATTAATTGGCTGAGTAGTGGCTGCAGGGCTTTTTCCTCCACAATAGGCAGATAGTATTGTATAGTATGTGTAAATTTTAGCATGAAGTTAATGTGAATCTAAGAGATCCAAGTGAGCTCATTCAATTCTCCCTAGGGTATATTTAGTGTGTGTAATTTTACCATATTATATCTGGGGAACTTAGTTAATCATTGAGGATAAACTACTGTTTGTATGCAAATGAACCTTCGTATTGCTTGACATCATTAAATCTTCGTTTTGGAATAAACACTTTGACTCACCAATGAAACTTGATCTGCTGTTAAGGTACCCGGGCAGGCTGTCCAAATATATTTAATATTTGGGACACACTATGAAGTTTCTAATAACCTTTGCTTTTCTCTCTAGAACATATCATCCCCGGAAGCGTCTCCTGTTCACCGGCCGGAGTCCATCTCTCCTGAGGTACATCCCCATCTCTGCCATTAACTCTTAATAGCTTAATGGCTAATGCTACTACTCACTCGTTGCCTAGATTTGTTTAATTCATTTTGTCTTCTCCCTCTGTCTTTCTCTCTGTTTATTTCCCACCTTCAGCCATGTCTTCAGACAGACTTTGACGTCCCTCGTCCTCAGTTCCCAGACCTGTCGCTCCCCTCCAGCCTGGAGAGCCCTGTGGCTGTGACCTCAGATGACTTCTCCCTTCCTGGAGGCCCTTCAGGCCACGATTCCCAGGGCCCATCATCTGTTGGGACCAGTTCCCTAAACCCAGCGTCCTGTCCTTCCTCAGACCTAACCCCCCAAAACAGGGAGCAGGCCTTCAAGACAGAGTTCAACCTCATATACACCTGCTCCCCCCTCAATGCAAACCTGGGGAACCCCGTGGCCACCGACCGCCACCTCTCCCAGTCAGAAGGCGGCTTCTCTCCAGCAGAGTCCTTCCACAGTTCCATAAGCGGCCAGGGGCTGCTGGGAGACGTGGGTACCGGCTCCATGTCGCCCTATGGTGAGCCTCATTATGGGGGAAGCTACCCGGATAGTGGCACACCTCCTCACACCAGCAACCCACCTCAAAAGAAGAAGGCAAGTTCTCCACATCATAATGATAAGAATGTAAAGATGCTAGTTTTTCAGGTAAATCTTAAGGACATTCATCTGTTCTTTTCAAGCACGAATGACTTTGAGTGTGATATGTGCCAACTGAAAAGCCAAACCTCATGATGTGCTTTTCCCCTTGCTCTGTGTTTGCCTGTTGACTTTGTCTTAAGTATATCAATTGGTCCCTTGTGTCAGGTGGTCAAATCCAATAGCAACAGACATTTAAAAAAACAAAAACCTATTTAAGCATTTTATGTGTATATCTGAAATGATTTCGACTCTGTAGCTTTGACCCTTCCTCCCCCCTTCCCTCCCCCCTCCTCTCCCTCAGCCCCCTTCCTCCCCTTCGCTGCTCCTTGACACTTTTTGCCAAGTCTCTCTTCCACTTTTCTTCCAAGGCAGAGGGCCAACCAGCATACCATTAGTCTGCTGACAGGGAAGCCAGATTACCAGGCTATAGCTGTAAGAAGTGAATACAAGCCAGTACAAAATATGGTGAATATTCTCCCTACAACTACATCTTTAGAAGTGTGCATGTAAATATTGTTTCTTTGCATCTGCATACAACACCCACTCCATGCTCCGACAGCTCCGCCCCCCCCCCTCCTCCTCCAAACCCACATTGAATTATGACGCTATAGTTTTGAGCAGGAGTTTTAAGTTCTTATGCCATTTCAGTCAAATTCATTGTAAAGGTTCATCCATTGCCTTCAACATAAGAGGCTGATGGTTCATGAATTGTCATGATTGCGTTGAGATGAAGCCCATGTGTCTCTGCTCCATCTCATCCATGGCTCTTTCCAAACCGTAATCCACCTCGGTTAAAAGCAAGGCTAAATTTAAAGCAAAAAAAAACATGCACAAGGCACTATATGAAAGTTCTGGGGCTCTGGGTCGCATTAAGCATGCAACAAATGGACATCCTCTGGAGTTTTCATTGGCTACAATCACACTGCAAGCTTTAGCCCTCAATTCGGATTTATTGGTCAGATAACATTTTTGTTTGGCTGTTGACATTATTTGTTAAATGTGATGTTGGTGACTTTGGCCTGCAGTCTGAACGTAGCCATAGTAACACAATTCATCAGTCAATCAACCCAAATGTAATTTTGAGCAAACTGAGCTAACATCACATAGTCCTGTTAATGTGACGTTAGAAATAAGTGACTGCACTGGAAAACAGTGGTTGCTACCAGAACTCAGCACATCACACAGGTCAGGTTAGATATTCAGAAAGATGTCTAAACATAAACATGAAAACGGGAATATAGAATACCTCACATCCTGCCCTTCCATAGACGCCCTGTAGATAGGGTTATGGTGATATATCTGATAGTGATATCAAATAGGTATCTGAAGTTTCTAGTATTAGGATTCCCAGTCACTAAGAAGGTGGAAATGATTTAGTGGTTCAGATTAATGTTCGTCGGTCAAAATAAGGGATATACGTTTCTCAAAGAAATCTCCATTGTCAGGTGTTTTCTGTATAGCATCACATGCTGTATGAAATACAGATGAAGGTCAGATCTAGAGAAACTGGCTTGAAGTGAGTCATGACTCAAGTTCAGCAGAATTGGGTCAGTTGACCTGTCCAGGCAACAGAAAAAAAGTTGAACACTTTAAACAAAGACTTTTGTTTTTTACAACTTGAATTTATTTTGCCTCCTACCAACATTTTTATTATAGTATTTATTAGTTTGTTAGTTATTCATTTTTTTATTTTCAGTTAGTTTCAAGAGTGGGTTTGCTTATTTCAGTTTGTTTTTTATTGTTTACAAAAAGGTTTTGTTATAATTAAGTAAGTAAGTTTGATTAACCTGGGTTGTACAAATATATCAAAACCAATAGATAGGTGGCCACAGCTAAAAGTTTTTGTTAACTGTACTTTTCCTTTTAGTTATGTTTTTGTTTCATTTAACTGGGACGGAACCAATCAGAGACCTTGTTGATACTAAACTACACTAGCATATTAAACCTGACCTGAAAGAAGAAAGACATGTATGGTGGCCAGCTCTTAAAGGGTTTAAATCGTGTATATATAAATATATATCTGAGGCTTTTTATTTGTCGCTCACTGGTTCTAGTGACAAGACACCATATCTAACTCTAGCTATATATACCATTATAATCACAAAGATTCAGGCAAGAGCCATCCATGTCAGTATCTGACTGTGTGGTCATCACCCCGCTCCCCTGCCTTTTTCATAAACCCCCACTTTGTTCCCACAAGCCTTTTCTGTGTCATGACGATATTAAGCTGGGATGAGTGCTCTCATTCTCATTGTTAATAGTGGAAGTGTGTGTGTATATGTTGTGCGTGTGTGTGTGTGTGTGTGTGTGTGTGTGTGTGTGCGCGCTCAAACTTCCTGTGGACGTTGATATGAGTGTTTGTGTAGTTGTTGTTTCAGTGTGGTTGCATCATTGCGTGGTGCATTTAAAGTTGCCTGCTCTTTCGTCAAAAGCTTTAGATGCTGTATGTTACTAACAGGGCATTGAGAACACACAGTGATCTGCAGTATGCTGTATTTGAGCCTTTTCTCAACTCTTAATGGAATGGAACCAAATCAGAGATGCATACAGTGTCATTTTCATGTCAAAGGTAATTTCCATGGTGATGAAGGTGTGTTTTCTTTCTGTCGCATTGAATAGTAAATACTGTTTTCCAGGTGAGTCCTCTCTGGTGTGGTGCATGCGGTCTGCCCATCACTCAGTGCAGTTTTGGTGAATGATGTGATTCAGTCAGCGGCCCAGCATCAGTGTGAATGACATGAAGTAGTATAAGCACAAGACCATGTGTCAGTCATTTAATAGCGCCCAACCCCCCCCCACCTCCCTCTGCTGCTTCAGGTGTCATTGCTGGAGTACCGTAAGAGGAAGCAGGGAAGCGGTCGCGACTCGGAGCAGGTCGGGAGCAGCTCGTCTCTGGGTGGCACCCCCACCCGGCCTGGCTCTCACTACAGCCAGGACTCCCATCAACCCCATTCCCATCAGCAGATGTATCCCCCGGCTTCCCCACACAGCTCCTTCTCTTCCTCAACGCACGCCTCCATCCCGCAGATAGAGGAGGTCAGTCCTCCAGACCACCAGGGCTCGTCAGTTCAGTCCAGACGCCAGGACAGCAACAACCAGTGGTGAGAGGCCCACAATAATGGCTCACAGTACATGTCACATATGACGTGCACATTCTGGAAGTTTTAATAGCTGTCTGATAACCTTTGGATTGTGTTTTTCCAAGGATGGTTCCAACTACTGTTGAACGTCTAAGGGAAGGTCAGGGGGTTCTGGAGCGAGTGCTAAGAAGCATCAAGATGGAGCGGAATTACAAGAGAAGTGATGGCTCAGCAGAGAAGGAATCTGGTATGAAGACGTCCCTGCAGAGAAATGAACTGACAAAGCCACAACCACCGTAAAACTTGTAATAAAAGCGGTTCTGTTCTAGAAATTATCTCGACCAACCAGGTTGCCCGCTGGAGCAAGTTCTGTGTCCATTCCTCCATTATTTATGTTCCTTTAGTCTGTAAGCGTTGACCAATCAAAGGGTTTCATTCAAATGAATCCAAGTTGTGAATATTGTCGTGTTGTGTGTGTTGCTCATGTTCACGTTCTAATAAAGGCCGGGTGAGTTCAGTGATTGAAGCAAATAAACGCCTGGGCTATTATTAGAAGTTTCACAGTATGTTGTACCAAAAACAAAGAATAGACTAAAAACTAGATACTAGATACAAGTAACTACATAAGTCATTTTCTCAATTAATTTATTAGTTGATTGGTCCAAAAAATGTCAGAAAATGTTGATCAGTGTTTCCCAAAGCCCAAGCTGACGTCCTCTATTCAGTTAACTGTCATAGAGGACTAAAGAGACCACAAAATACTCACATTTGAGAAGCTAAAATCAGAGAATTTGAATTTTTAATGAATTTTTATTTCTTTCATGACAAAAATGTGTTCTTGTTTTCTTCAGTGTTATAGTAATCTTCCTTTCTGTGTCTGCAGATGCAGATCGATATGAGATGCAGGCAGCGGCCATGGCTTCTCCCATGAAGAGTCCACAAAGATACAGTCCCTCTGTGTACTCACATCAGGTATCCTGCACAAACCATTTACAACACTCGATGCAAACAAATTGTCCGGATACGTGTGATAATGTGTGTCACAATGACATTAGTATACAAGCTGCCTGATGACCATTGCCATGTTTAGTCTCTGTTTCTGTGTTGCTGTTTGTAGTCAAGACACACATTTATCACATCTAGTGCATTTTGGCAACATTTTATTTGAATCTGACGCATTACCCATCATTCCATGACAATGCTGCATTTAAATCATATGGAAGTAATTAGGAGGGTTGAGCGAGTGTGGTTAATGTCCTTTTAGGAGTAGGCTGTCATTGAGTAAAATGTGCCAATATCCGTACCTGTAAATATATAGCAACTTCTTTTTAACTCTGTTCTGTAAATAGTTCTCTCACTCTTTTAGCTCAATTCTGAGGCTGTTCTGTATATAGTTTTCTGCTAAATATAACTGATCAACCCATATCAATTTCAGGCTTAAATGAACAACTTCGGGTTAGTCCCACACACTTCCTGTTGTATGGATATAGAACATGCAGTTGATGGAACAGATACAGATAATGCTGTACTCTTCCCTTGTAATGATCATTTTCTGACCCACATCTTTGCTAGTGCTAATTTATCGAATGTGTCCCTCATCTCAATGCTAATAATGAGTAGAAATCCTGCTTTTTCCTACAGTTCTGTATATCCACCTTGCTGGTAAATAATAATGTCCAGTCCATAAGGTTCATAAACCCTAACTTAGCACTATTTTTAATATTCATATATCTTTTTAACAAGGTAAATCTTTTTTACTTTGTAAGTGAATACCTGCAGATGCCATCTTGCTTTGTCCATAGCATGGATACTTGCATTTTGTAACCATGGAAATATTTAATTGTCACAGAAGAGTGAGTGTGTGTGTGTATTTTGTGTGTGTTCAGTCATCAGAAAGTCACCGGCAGACCGACAGCCCGTCGTTCATCCAGCAAACCTCCAACTCTCCATTCCGGGGTTCCTACAGTCCCTCATCGGGCCAGAGCTTCTACCCACGCCTCTCCTCCTCTCACCCAGGACTGTCCCAGGACCACCCTCCATCCTCCTACCCCAGTCACACCACCAATCCCGCCTCCTCCTCCTCAGACTCCAAGCTGCCAGTGGGCTCTCTACACCAGCAGAGTGGCAGCAGTAACGTGGACGGTGGCCACGGCTACGGCAACAGCCACTTAAAAGCGAGCCTTTTGAACAGCAGCGGCCTGCCGGGGACTCCCGCCCCGGGACCCAGGGCCCACGGGCAGACTAAAATAGACTCGGGTGCCCAGGCCTCCAGAGGGAGCCAGCAGGCATCTCGCAGCCTGAAGTCGGGTAGCCCGGGCCAGACAGCGCTGCAGGCAGGCTCCAGGTTGTTGTCGGCCTCTGGACCGACACACTACCCACAGCGAGGGTCAAGCCTCAGTCAGTTCCAGCACTCACCGCTCCAGGGACCCGGAGTAAGGACACAGTCAGGAAGCTTTTAGGACCTTGTTCAAGTGTGTGCGTATGTGCGAGTGTGTGCGTGTGAGTGTGTATGAAGCTGCGTACCTCCTCAACCCCTGCGGTGAAATGGGGCTCAGGGAGTTTGGGGAGGGGAAATGTACAGACCTAAGAGGAGCAAGGACTTCTTTACGGATTTCTCCTTTTCTTATTTTCTGTCTTTTCTTTCTTTATTTACAGAAAAACAAAACAAATTACCACATTCTGCACAAAGCTAATCATTGACTTTGGACATCATTACGGAATCAGTGGAAAAACCAATTTGGATGACACATTCTGAAAAGAATAACCAAGAAATCACATGTAACTTGAAATTGTCCCCAGTGTTTCCTCATGTGCCGGACTGTGCAAACAGGCTCTGTAATGTCGGAAAGTAAAAACTTCCACACAAATGTCTGTACAAAGTTATAAAAAGCTGTACCTGTCGTCATGGTACCCAGGTTGGATAAATGCTGAGATGCATATGTAACTGAAAGCAAGAGTTTTATTTTCTTTTTTTTTTTTTTTTTTTTGTCGTTACTTCTTTGATTTGGCAAGTGGCCGAGTCTGTGCTGCAGTAAATAAGTGTTTGATTTGGAAAGAGGGGGAAACGATGCAAGTGAAGGCGACATGTTAATCATCCGTTCTAAAGATGCATTAGAGAGGCGGGGAGGAGGGGTCCTCCCTGGATAGGATCATTCCATGTGATTACCAGTTTCCGTGTTCTCTCACTAAACATGAAAACAGCCCTTTTTTTTCCTCCGTCTGTTCCAATGTTCTGTTGTTTTGGGTTCTCTTCTGTTCTCTCATCCCCACTGGACTGTTTTGATTTCACATTAGGACTACTTCACTGTAGACTTCTGATATTGTACTTGAGACATACAGGTCTTATGATTCATGGTGCTGCATTCTTGTTTTTTTCCAATAAATTTGAAATCCAGTTATGTTCCCCACATTTGGCTGCATTCATCTTGTCATTATATCAGTTGGAACCAGTTTTCCAAATTCATACTTATTATATATTCTAGAGTGGGATGCAGGAACAAAATAAGAGGTGAATAATCCAATGTAATTTCTAAGATAAAATGTTGGCTTTTATCCTGCAGGATTTCTTTAAATATATGTTTGTTTGTTTTTCCCTGACCAATCCTTGCATTCCGTGTGACACCGAGGGAAAACCAGGGAAGGGATCTCTGAGGGAGTATTTGGATTGTTTATAAAACCTAGGTTTAAAAAAAAAAAAAGCTGCTATGTTCTCCTGTGAGAGCTGCTTCCCTTTCCACAGAATGCTGTATTTTTATTTTTCCTTTTAACTCACAAACTGACTTGTAATAAAGAGACAGTTCTCCTGACCGCCACAGTGGGACCTCAAACCGACGTTAAGCTGACAGCTGGGCGGCAGCAGGAGTCGCCCTCTCCTCCCTCTGAGACTTTTATTTTGGACCGTATGTGGAAACAAAACGTCTGCGTTCGTGTGGGAAAGCTTTGAGGACCGAGGGCCCGGTCATGAGACTGGACCCCACCCGCCACTACACCCACCACACCTCCTCCCCTCAGTCCGCAAACACACAGAAGGGTACTCGTGTTACATGAATGTTTGACAAATTGAAAAAAATAAAGTTGTGACCCAAAATTAACCAGCACCTTAAAATGAAAGAAATACAACCTAAAAGACACAATAGGACAATATGTATGATTATGTGTACTTGTATAGAAAGAAATGTGATATAGACTTGTATGGAGAAAATATAGTACACTGAATTTATCGCATGATATTTGTTTTTAGGGTCCGAGTGACCAACTCTGTCAGATGGTTGGAAGCTGATCATTGGGTCTGTTCCTGGGTTCCTCCAAAAACCAGACGCTGCATTCTCTTTTTGTTTTGTAAAGATCATTCTGTTGGTTTGGATTTATTTTTACACAGATCATAGTAGTAACTATTTCAATTGTTCCCCTCCAAAAGGTTTAAGAAGCAAGAGATGTAATGCTTTTTGATAATAAAATAATCATGATGGTAATGTATTTTGAAAACTACCATTGTGATGTGTCATTTGAGGGAGTCGCTTGTATGTTTTGCACACGTCACAGCAGTCCGAGCGGGGAAGATGATCTCCACCAGTGCTGCTCCTGTTTGCTAGTTAGCAGGACATATTAAAAACTGTAAAAAATATAGGTAAAAGGCTTTTCTCTTAGACAAGTGTGTAAAAGGCAACAAAACATCAGATAAAACAAAAGAATCATGTTAAGTGAGTGTGGGAGTAGAAGAGGATGTGGGTTAAGGAATAAGTTGTTAGTTATTGGCATGGATTCACACAACTCCTCTCGAGTACACCAGGCTTCATCAGGCCATCATCCTTTACTTCACAAAGACTTAGAAACTATTATTGAACGTAGTACAAAAATTGTAGGAAAGTTCTCTCTATAACCATAAATACAATCTATAATTGCAATCAGTCTCTCACATGTTTTCTAACAAATACACACATCTTCATCCTCACACAAATGTGGGTGCAAAGGTTGAATATGCACTTTAAATACATTAAACATTGTATGTATTCTTTCAGCCTCATCATTCAGACTAACCTCCATCACTTAAAGCTGTAGGAGGTCATTTTTATAAAAAAAAATAGCTGTCATATTTGCTACTTACAGTAGTACATGAGAAGTTAATTATTGGGTGCACATAAGCAACCTCTCAGCAGTAACAAATATGTTTTCCACTAATTCTCACCCTGACTGAGCAGGGTTTATTTTTTTCTTTAATTAAATCATGGCCCAGTGTTACAGATTGAGCATCAGTCCTGTGTTTGTCCACTAGAGGGAAGCATTGAGCTACACGTGAATAATGCAAAGGAGAAGAAGACTTGGTTTCCCACCAATGAAACTACATATTCATGGCAAACACTTGATTTGGATAGTCAGCCTACTTGTAGAGTATTTGTAACATTTCAATAGTTTTGCTTTGTCTATAACAGATTATCTATAGCAGTAAGCAGTTAATATCAGTCTCTCCCAGTACCACCATTATGACCGATGTTAAAATACAGCAGTGTAGGCCGACCCTGTTCAGCTGCAGACAGTTCACACAGGAGGCAGCTTTATTCTTAATAGGATTATTTGTTGTTGAATCCTGAACGGAACCGGTTCAAGAACCAGAGCTTTGAGACCTCAAAGAGTTTTTGGACCGATCATTTTACCTCCACTTACAATCTTACCATCACATCTTAGCCTATAAGAATTCACAGATGTATGCATGCGTGAACGGGACCTAATAGGCAGGCTGACATTGAAACAAAATATTACAGGAAATGCAAAACTTATTGTAAATTTACATTTCAGCGACATCAGTGATATTTTCATTCAAAATGTTGCTGTATTTTAGTAGTATGTTTTTAAATTATTTTATTAAATGTTTTAAAAAATATTTCAGAGATTCCACCGCGTACCACTAGAGGCAGCCTACCATAGTTTGAGAACCAATGATTAATAGCGTATATGTGAGAATTCATGAACACCATAACCGGGATGTTTTTTTGTGCCTACACCTGACCAAACCTTAACCACATGATGGAATATTGTTAAATTTCCATGGATCTAGAGGGGTGGTCACCCACAGCTGCCACCCCAGTTTGGTGAAAGATTTTATACATTAATTTAGATTAATTAAAAAGTCTATTTAATGATCTGTTATGGCCACATTTTAGACTAAGGGATGAAGATGTTCAATGAAAAAGACATGAAAAATGTCTGAAGATTTGGAAATATAATAACGCATGCTTTCTAACGCCACCTTTAGATGTTTCTAGTCAATGCTTTACTAATGTGCCACAATAATATAATGTTTGAAAGGTTCAAATATCTTCATTTGGAGGCTTTTTCAAGCAAATACTGATATATGTAATTGTGATTAAATCTGCAGATATTTCTGTTACCCCTTAAAGTCTCCATGGACACCCCATGAATATTTCTGTAGATCCGCCCCTGTGAATCTGAACTAATAAACTGTTGAAATGTTACAAATACTCAATAAACTATAGGTGGACTATCCAAATAAAGTGTTACCACAAACTGTGTAAAGTGTATACTGTAAAATCAGATAAGTTAATTAAACCCTAAAAAAATAGCTGAAACTGATTACATCAAACATTTTAAAGTAAAACTAACTAAATTATGTACGTAAAAAATAACATTCTTGATAATGTAGCTTCATTAATTTTAAGTGAAAACTAAATTTTTTCATTTGTACTGTGATAACAAAATACCTTGTAAAAGGTTATTAATTAGGAATGGCTGTAACTTACAAAACTAAGTGAGTGTCACTTAAAATTACTAGTAAAAGCTGGTCAATCAAGAATCTTGAGTTTATGTCACTTAAAAATGTTCATGTAAAAAGTTTGAACAATCTTTTGAGTTCAATGAACTTATCTGGTTTTACAGTGTATTAGTGGTTTCCAAAGCCACAAACAGCCTTTAGTCAGCTCTGTAAACAGTGCCCATTGCGATCAATTGCTATTATTGTTGTGTCTGTCCTCTTCTCACTGAAGTGCCCTGAAAAGCATTTGTCGTCCACCCAAACAGACACAGAGCAAAATCATCAGTGTTGACTGTCAAACCCTGCCAGTGTTTGTATCCGGGTGAGACCACTGAACAGTTTGGAACAGCTGCTTCAAAGCGGCAGATCACACTCATCACATGGACCTGAATGAGTTCCAGAGAGCATGTGGAAAAACAAATTTCCGGTGTGAGGTCTTCCCTCTCTGTTTGCTTCCTCCTGCAGGTGGCGGGCACACAGCCACTAATTGAAGTGAGCGAGTGAACAGGTATGTTGGTGGGGGTGCAGCGCCGGAGGCCTCGCTGGCGACAGGTTGTCTGACTGGAGGAAAACGCAGAGAGCAGATGGCTGGTCTGAGGCCTGTCAGCATGTGGAAGTCTTCATTCTCACTGCTCCAGATGGCCTTTATGCACCATCTACCCGTGCTCTGACACACGCACAGACGGACAGTCCGGTTGTAAAATCTGAGATTATTGGAGGATATCATGTCTCACAGTCCCACATAGACACTCACAAAGTGAACATATGTGTTTTTTCTGTTTATTGTACAGATTTTTATTTTGTATTTTTTAAATACATGGAAATATTAATAAAATTACAAATATAAAAAGGACCACAGGGACTCCCTCAGACCTCCTGACACCTCCACAAGGATCCCTGGGATCCATTTTCATCCAAAGCTGCAGCCCTGCTCTGCTTGCAGTTTGAGTCAGGATTGAAAACTACACCTGAACTTTATGAGTTAATTTCCTAATAGAGGCTGTCTAAATCCTTTGTAGGTTGCGGTTGTTTCTAATGCAGGATGAGGCTGTCTATCAGAGAGGGAAGGCTCTGTGACTGTAGCTTGTGTTCAGGTCTTCACCGTGCCATCAAAAATAATAATCTGAACTTTAAAACAGGGGCGGAGCTAGAGGGGTGGCCGGGGTAGCACTGGCCACCCCTGGAACCTGATTGGACACCCTGGGTGCAACCCCAGTTGATTGACAGGTCACTGCACGTCACGTCGAAAACAGCGAGATTTTTAAACGCAAACAGAGAAGGCAGAATAAACAGATAACAATTTTTTGCTAAAAAAAACAAATCAGGCACAGGTCAGGCACAGACAGACCCCAGCCCAGATATCAGCAGCCCGGGCAGCTCCCAACATGAAACTAGCCAGGCAAGTCGTTCATTAATTCTCATACCAATGGCATCTTTATTTGATCCATGAGCTGAGTCTTGCGTCTAGTGTCCGTGATGTGCAGCCTTCTCTTTGTTTTACCAAGACACTGACTTTTCCCACGGGTGTTTTTAATTTTCTGAATGAATGATGCAACTGAAAGTGCAACTTAGGTCCATTTCCTCCAGCCACTTCCGTCCGTCATAAAGCTCTTTTTTATGTTAGTGTCAGTGCCAGGTTAGCTCAGTCAGTAGAGCTGGCAATCCATGTACGGAGTTGCTGCAGTGGCCTGGGTTCTAATCCGACCTGTGGTATCCCAGGATTTTCCTTTATTGGGCCTAATATATGGCCCCCTTCATAAAGCCTTGTCCACCCTCTGGCCACCCCTTGTATAAAAGTCTAGTTCCGCCAATGCTTTAAAAATAACTAGGCTATTTCATTTAGTTTTCTTCACTTAAATGAATGAAATACCAAGATATAGGCCTATTGTATATTTTAAACATTTTCTTATACCCCTTCAAATCAAGAAGGCCTCGTACCTCCCCGTGAAGTTCCTAACCCCTCCCAACCCCAAGTCTGAGGTTGAGAACCACAGATTCAGATCACCTTTTGCACATTTCCCTTTTCCCCAATTCATTTTGGCTGAATGTTGAAATTCCTCTGGGTTGATTGGAGGATTATTCAGATCACCTGTTGCACAGTGTGTGGGGGCAGACTCCTCAACAATGACTTAGAGCAGCTTGGTGATCCCCCTCTTGGGTAGTCAGGGTGTGACAACGCCCCTTCTTTAGGGCATCTGATAACAGACTGCATCATACCTGTGCCTTGATGCAAGGTGGAGGGCTAAAAGTATGCAGGAGATCATTAATAGTATTTTAGTACTTACTACTTATGTATGTGTGTGTGTGTGTGTGTGTGTGTGTGTGTGTGTGTGTGTGTGTTTGGATTGGCCCTGAAATTTGCATGTTTGATGAAAACATTTGCATGGACAAACAGTGTTTGCTCCTCATGTTGGCAATGCAAGTACTTGTGTGTCTGTGTTGCTTAATTTGCCAGCCACTGAGGTTGCAGCTTGGTTCTACCTTCTAAGATCAGTATAATAAATGTATTCCCCAGTAATCATCTCTTCTGCAGAGAATAATCTAGTCTGATACATCAGTCATGCACTAAATCCTGCCTTCATGAAAGTTATAATGTGCAGTTTGAACCAGTTCTAGAAAGGTGTGTATGATGATTTTGGGGGAAGTTTGTACTGCTGTTGAACTGTAGTGTATTATACAGAGAGGTGTTCTGTTATTTCCTTTGCACATTGATATAAATGGGATAGACAAAATATTAATGTTTGTATAGAAAGGAAAAGATGACAAATGTAAAATGAAAACTCTTTTTGAGGACATCCATAAGTGGTAAATCCAGACCTGTGGCCAGACCCTGCTGTCTTCATCTTGACCTTCGACTTGGATAATTTGTGCGTGACGTCCCGCCTGGCTCCCTGGTTGCTCACCTGAAAGGTCACAAGGGCTCTTTGAGTTGTAAAGACAGGCAGCAGACAGACAGACAGACAGAGAGATGACAAAATGAGGGAGTGGGAGGCGGAGAGGACTGCGAGGCACATCACTAAGGATCTCTGTTATTATTCCCAATCCAGCCAGCAGTCTGGACATGCTGCTCCACAACAAAGAAAGCGCCAATCTCTTCTGACGTACAGTGCGGCCCGCTGCCCCCCGGCCATCTTTTAGCTGCTCTGTCATGGCTATAAATAGCGGCAGCTAGCGTGGGCTAACCGACTCAGGGGTGGAGAGATTTGTGCGGTGTGCCAGGAGATGTTTCCATGCGGTTTGGGTTACATACTAATATGTTTTCTAAAACAGCCTCTCTGAGCTTGGCATCCACTGATGGGAGGAAGGTTCATACTGAAATGGATACTGTTTATGTGTGTTGGTAGCTAGAGTCTGTACAGTGTTAGTTTCATGGTTATGCATTTGTATTTACTGTTTGTAGCATTGAATGAGTCAAACTTCTCAGACTACAACCACACTAAACTGACTTTTTCTCTCCGGTTCTCTTGTCCAGTTTATTTCTGAATATTCTGTCACCACTGAATTAATATGAAATTGCTGAACTCGCATTTTGGTGTGGATGGGGAAAACAGAGCTTTTGGAAAACAATGACGTAAGCCTATGGAAGCATTATCATTTTACACATATGTATGTGTTATTGAAAATGTAATAATCTATTTTGATTATGACCTGAGTGGTACAACAAATCAAGCCAAAATAAATATATTAGACCTTTTTCACAGCAGCCATTTTGACATGAAATAGTAGGGTAAACACAGGTGTTACCAATTCAATTTCATTTCAATTTCAATTAAATTTTATTTGTATAGCCCCAATTCATAACAGAAGTTATCTCAGGACACTTTTCAAATAGAGCAGGTCTAGACCGAACTCTTTATAACATTATTTACAGAGACCCAACAGTACCACCATGAGCAAGCACTTGGCGACAAGGGCAAGGAAAAACTGCCTGTTAAGAGGCAGAAACCTAGGACAGATCCTTTGGCTCTAGGTGGGTGGTCGTCTGTCTCGACCAGTTGGGGTGAGAGAGAGAGAGAGAGAGAGAGAGAGACAGACAGACAGACAGAGACAGAGAGAGAGAAGAGAGAGAGAGAGAGAGAGAAAGAGAGAGAGAGAGAGAGAGGTAAAGACAGAAGGACAGAGAAAGAGACAGACAGACAGTTGCACAGCAACAACAGTAGCAACGACTACACTAATAGTAGTGACTGATGATGATGAACATGAAGAAGATGATGACGATGGGGGACAATGAGCAGTGATTTTGAGTAATAATAGCGACTGTAGTAATAATAATAATAATAATAATAATAACAATAATATCACTGATATTAGCAGTGGCAGTCAAGCAGGACCATGGCAGGAGGCTCCACCAGGATCCATGAGAACCTGCGAGACGAGAAAGCACAAGAACTCCGGGGAAGAAGTGAATTAATGGAACATGAATGAGTGCAGAAAGGGAGGGAGAGGAAGAGAGGACCTCAGTGCACCATGGGAAATCCCCCAATAGTCTAGGCCTATAGCAGCATAACTAAGGGATGGTTCAGGACTCACCTGATCCAGCCCTAACTATAAGCTTTATCAAAGAGGAATGTCTTAAAGGGGAACTTTAGCAGATTTTTACCCTAGTCTTGATCATTAGAGGTCACCGAGTACTGTCGATAGGAAAAAGAATGAGCGGAATTGGTTCTAGCAAACTGGAGATCCTGCAGCTAATGGCCAGAGCTCCCAGTTAGTTATAATACACTTCTTGAGGGCATATCCTAAAGAATGCCTTTTGCTCCTCTTAACAGACACAAAATGCAATTAAAATGTCTGTGCAACATGATCAGGGCCCTTACGTGACAACAACATGCCTTTTCAACTCATACTGTTTTTCCACCGCTCGCTTCACCGAAAGCCCAGAATAATCGATCACGGAGATAATGCCTTCATGACGAAAAAAAGTTTATTTACCCCTCAAAAATGCTTCCACCGCAACACGCCGCCTTTGTTTACTCCAGAGAACAGCTGATCCCGCTAATGCCGGCCGGCGTAGTGGCCAGAGCAGCTGATATACCACCTGAACTCTGGAGGAAAACACACCGGGGATGCAGAGGAGGGAAGCAACGTCGGGGAACGAGAGGAGGGTCGAGACGGGACGGGCTTATGGAGAGGGTCCCTTAGCAACAAAATGGACGAGCTAACAGGGCTGACACGGAGCCACCCAGAGTACCTTGAGTGCAGTCTGATGTGTTTCACTGAGACATGGCTGCACAGGGACATTATGGACCAGATCGTCTCCGTGGATGACTTCCACACCGTCCGGGCTGAAGTCCCGTGGGATTTCACTTGTTGCAGGGAAACGCAGAAGAAGAAATTGTTGCAGGAAGTGTGCAAATCGGAGAGTAGTGTGTGAAGACATTTTTGAGGGGTAAATAAACTTTTTTTCGTCGTGAAGGCATTATCTCTGTGATTGATTATTCTGGGCTTTCGGTGAAGCGAGCGGTGGAAAAACAGGTAGGCGACAGTACTGTTTTGTACGGTTTCTGCACAACGTATGAGTTGAAAAGGCATGTTGGTGTCACGTAAGGGCCCTGATCATGTTGCACAGACATTTTAATTGCATGTTGTGTCTGTTAAGAGGAGCAAAAGGCACTCTTTAGGATATGCCCTCAAGAAGTGTATTATAACTAACTGGGAGCTCTGGCCATTAGCTGCAGGATCTCCAGTTTGCTAGAACCAATTCCGCTCATTGTTTTTCCTATCGACAGTACTCGGTGACCTACAGTGATCAAGACTAGGGTAAAAATCTGCCGAAGTTCCCCTTTAAGCCTACTCTTGAATGTGGAGAGGGTGTCTGCCTCCGAACAACGACTGGAGGCTGGTTACCAAAGACAGTGATTAAGGTACCGTTCCATTTAGATCAAACAGGGTTAGGGGCTGCAGTCGAATAGTAAAAAAATGACGTCCTATGTCCTTTCCTCAACACTTTTCCTTGACCTCAGTGGAAAACATCATGAGGTCAGGAAAGATGTGAAGGAGAACTCATGAGGACTTAGGAAAAGAACCGCAGGGGTTCTGTCTTAAAAATTGACTGTGGTAGAACATTTCTCTACAAAGGTCCAACTGCAGAGGTCATAAAGTCATTTGGTCATTCTTGCTCTTTTTGTTACTTATTGAACATTTTGCATTCAGACAACAAATAGCACGAACAGCTATTTAAGCTAAAGTTTAAAATGAAAACAAATCAATCTGCTGCTAAAAAGTGGGTGGGATACTATTATTATTATATTATATATATATACATATATATATATATATATATATATATTATATATATATATATATATATATATATATATATGTATATATATAGGCAGCAAGTGAACATTTTGTCCTCAAAGTTGATGTTAGAGGATATGAGCGACTTTGACAAGGGCCACATTGTGATGGCTAGACGACTGGGTCAGAGCATCAGCATGGAACGCTGTGATGGAATACATGTCTGTGTTAATAAAAACTGAAAATGTGGAATTAAATAGGTAGACAATATTAATAGTCAATCAGTTTATTCATTTTCTTGTTAAAACAACACCAATGGTGAGAAAGTGGTGTATGACTGCCATGCTGAACTCTCCTTAGACAATCCTGAACAAACATCACAGCATCCCATAACCAGTAAAATAACATTACAGCAACTGCAGAAAAGCATGTCAAATAAAATAAAACACACTGAAAAAGCACTGCAATAGCAAATTGGAGTCAAAAATAAAAGTACACTTTCCATATCTTTCTTTGGCACAACTGAATAACAGTGTCGGGGAAGAAAGCCAAATATTTGTGAGCAGAATTAAAACGCTACTGAGAGAGGAGACAGCCGTGAGCTGGGCCCTGACTCACTCAGAAGGACTAACCACCACTGATGAAGCCTAATGGTTTGCACTAATGATCCCACCAACCAAAAAATACACAGCGTGATCCCCAGATCACTCAAAACATCCTTCATACCAGATTCCATATGTAATTCTGCAGTGTGCAGTTATAAGTACAACAGTAGAACTAAATCCTTCTTATTACTACAAATAGACTAGTGGTTAGTCTTGTTGTGAAAGTGGTCCCAAATGATTTTGTCAAATGACAAAAAGGATCATATTATAGCCTGTAACTGTAGGAAATTGGAGCATGGAAGTTAATTCTTGGCTTTTGGGAAGAGGACCATGAGACGGTTGAAAGCTTGAGCTCAACGGTTCGTCGCAGTAAAGTCACTGGGTGCTGCAACAAAATGCTGGAGTGTATCCTTTAAATTGAATAAAATCATGTCAATATCAGGGTTAGGTTCAGATTACTGAACTTGCTTAAAGCCTATATGTGCAAAACGTACTGCTACTACAAGTTGCACTACAACACCAGCAGCTCAGAACTAACAAATGGTTACTACTGCCCCAGACTCCATTGACAAAACCAATAATTTTACCATAGAAAACAGTCCACTGGATACAAACAAAATAAAACTCACCAAAACCTTTGTTCGTCTTTCCACAATTTCCAACAATCACCAATGCTAGTTTGTTAGATGTGACAATATTGCAAGGCGGCAACGTAATCCTTGGGGACAAATCTTTAAAGTATGTCCACTAAAAGTGCTTGTTTTTGCTACTGACAGGCTTGTTGATTGTTATTCTAACTATATTGTAACGCTGGTTACTCTTAGTGTTAACTATAAACTTGATATTTACTGTATTCAAACTACCTTTGGGTCGTTGGTAAAGCAAGAGCACGGGGACAACTTCATCTATGTTACTTGATCTACTTTAATGTCCGCTTCCACAGTAGGACAACTAAACATCAGCAACAAAAAGTGAACACCTCACTACAGAGATCCATTTTATAGTTTAAGAGTAAGATTTTAGTTTAACCAGAAACATATATCTCTATTGCTCACCACCAGACTCCATTGACAAAAACAATCATTTTACCTTGCAGATCATTGTTTCTGTTTCTGCAAAATAGAAACCTTTTGAAACATATTTTGAAGGGTTACTGAACCATGTGGAATTCATCCCACTGGACTCGTTTGGGTATTTGTTTAGCAAAACAATGAGAAAATGTGACATTCTTTCAGTGCCATGTCTTTCAGGTTGGTAAAATGGCTGGATGACAAGGAAGGAACATTTTATATTGAGTAAGAAATTTCCATTATGCAGTAATGTGAATAGCTATGATATATTCTGATGTTAATGTGCGTTGGCAAATTTAGAGAGAAATAGAGAGAAAAGAAGTTGCTTTGCAGTGTAGTTTATCTGAGGACACCATCAAACTGAACAACAAAAAATATGTTTGAAATGTATGATTATTTCCATGTCCTTCCATGCTTTTGAAATATATAACAAAAGTATGTCATTCTCAAAAATCACATAACAGCTGTCCAGCTGGGGTCATGAGAATTTCAGGACTTTAAATTAGGGGCATGGCTCAGAAAATGACTTAGAACTGACTAGATGGGAACATTTAAAACAGTCAAAAAGAAGAACTGTATGTTGTGTATCATGCTGAGATAAAGTGCTGTAAGGGATACACATTGCCATTTACTCAGTACTGCATGTTGGACTTCAGTATTTATTGTGCTTGGCTACATGTGGAAAAGAAACGAAAGAGATTTTATTTGTGTCGATCAGAATTTCAGTGCTTAAAGAAATTCTTTATTCAAAAATATTCTTTAAAAGAAGTTAACTTTAAAAAAAGTACTGTTGAAATCACATGTGATCGCTGTATTTTAAACTCCATTTAAATTCTCATTTAAAGCAGCAGTAGGTCATTTTACATGAGACAGATAATCTCAATAAATTAATTGCTAAAAACTTTCACTATATATAATCATTAAATATGATTTTGACATGTTTGACACAATTTATTAGATTAATGAAGTTAACATTATTTGTGTAAAGCTGCATTTTTCAGTCTCACTTTTAAACGTGTTTTTGGGAAATTTGTATTGATCATGCTACAAAAGGAACCTGACATGGATCCAATACAGATTTTCCTTAATATGCTTCTTAGCATTTGTTTTGCCAGTTTGTACCTAAAATAGCATAAATTGCATTTTAAATGGTTTTAAAAAGGTCTTAAATTTAACCTGTTGAAACCTGCAGAAACTCTGTTTATTCACATTATTGCGGAAAAACAGCTTTTGTGCCTGCGGTGCCAAAAAGTTAAAATTTGTTGCCCTTTGACCCGAGCTGCACAGATAATCATTGTTGAGCACAGCTTGAACTGAAAAGTGGTTTCTGATTCTCCAGAACAAACTGACCTCATACTGAGACCAGACAAAGAAGATATTGGATGCAGCTACCAGATTTATTACAAAGATTGATTTCTGAGTCTCAGAAATGTGGCGATCTGCTGCTAGCCACATTAGCACTGTAGTTTAGGTCCGGAGGAGTAAATACTGCTGGCCCGGTATCGGCAGACAAATTCAAATTAGAATGTTGGCGTTATTAAGTGCAGCAGACTGAACCACTCCACTCCCTCCCACTGTACAAAAATGAAGCCAAAATATCCTGAATACGGTGGCTGCCATCTTTCGCCATTTCGAGACAGAGTCTGTGTACTAGTGATCGGGGTTTAGTGACATATCGAGATCCCGCCCATATCAGCTGACTCAATCGCAAACAGGGCTCAGCTGTCAATCATGACATGAAACCCCCTTTCAGCTTCAAATAACTCATTAACACCAAACTTGTCAGAGAAATTAACACTCAGCCTCCAAAGGATGATTTAGATGCTTTTGCGTCACTGTTAGAGAGCTGTCATGTCGCCCATCTTTATATATGTCCAAGAGATAGACCTACAATCAATCAGAGAAACATGTGACTATTCAAATCTGGACTGGTGATGCTGCTCTGTCAATCATATAAAACCCGCCCCATAATCATTTAGGTTGTGATTTGCACAGATCCAGGATGGGTGGAATTCAGTTTGAATGGGAGGGGGGCCAAACGCCTCTGCCAGAATAAATGTCCCAAGCGTCTGGTTCTCAGGCTAACATACTGTGGCGAACAACACTTTTCCACTGTAATGTGAATACGCCTTTAGCCATGAAGCTACCAAACCAAGTGAAGGCATAACAAAAAGCTGCCTTGCACCCTACTTTCTGCATTTGTTCCCACCTGCTTGGCGCCAACTTGCAGCTCAGTGCTGTTTGATTGGTTCTGTACTTTCTTCCTCCAGATTTGTGTGTCACAGCACAATCTGAATTGAGAAAAGTACATTTAAAACTGTAGCTGAAGGTAGAATGAAATGAGGATCACATTTGGGCCATTCTGGCTTTGTTTCCAGCCTTTGCATTTAATTGTGCAACTCAATGTCAAATTCAAATGTATGTATTTGAAAGCACTGATCTGGCTCCATAGAGAGGGTCCTGTGTGGAATCAGAGCAGGGACAGCACACAGTGTGTGATGCCTGTTGCCTTGATGAGTCTGTCCTGGGGTCTGCCCTCTCAGCTCTGTGCTCTTCAGCTGGTGGGCCTGGATAGTGCAGCTGACTGCCTGTTGGACCGAACGGAGTCCGAGCCCCGCCGGGCGTATACAGGAAGCCTCATCTTTTGCAAGCCTGAGATAGATGCAGCATGCAGGGCCTTTCCTGGTGGCCAACATACAAACCAAACCCGGTGGACTGGAGCAGAACTGAACACGACGAGTGAGTTTAGAGGGAGGAAACACGCTTTAAAAACACAAAGAAAAGACAATGTACAGCCTGGTATCACCAAACGGTGTATGAATAACACACCAATGTCTGAACGCCTTTTTTGCTTTTTGTGTGTCATTTCTTGCCATTTGCACTGACTTATATTGTGCAGTGATGCCATGTCATTTTACACATGAATGTCATAGAGACAAAAATGTAAGGTGACATAGTATAAAGCAGTGGTTCCCAACCTGGGAGTCGTGACATCCACTATGGGTCACCAAAGCTTCATGGGCGGTTGCAAGGCCTTGATTTTCAGGTATGCTAGGAAATGTAAAAAATATACATAGTAGGCCTATATCTCTTTTGTTAATTAAGTAAATTGTCTAATAGAACAATGGTCAAGTTCAGGGACAAGAAAATAATGAATTGTCAAAAAAGATGAAAAGAAGTGATTAAAAAACAAACAAACAAACAGAAACAAAGTTCCCTAAACAGGAAATAATCTGCTTCAAATACAGTTACTGGGTTCACTGTTTGGGTTCATTGTACAGTTTTGAATATAATATGAAATATCCATCAAATATGTCACTAAGTCAGTTTACTGAATGATAGAAAAGAGGTCCCTTAGGGAACAAGGCTGGGAACCACTGAATTAACAGGTTGTTCCCTGCCTCCATTACCTTCTGCCATTCCCCTTGCTTCATTCTATTGTTCGTACCAGAGCTTAAGGATCCAAATAGTACCTGTTTCTTTTTTTTTTTTTGCAGTTTGATCAACCATTACCTCGAGTTTACAGTCTGTAAAAATGCACTTTTTCTTCCTTATTTGCTTCTCTAATGCTTCCACCATTTATCCTCAAAACGTATCTATATGCTGATCCTTCATATGCAAATCAGGCAACTGGGGGTGTGTTTCAAGTCATTTATAGTAAATTGTGGGAAAGGTCAGAAGGCTCGTGCAGGTGCTCACAATTTCAGGATGATTGAGATATATGAGGGAAAAACATGTGGGAACAGATTGCATATGCATGTTTCCTGTTTTGTGTGTACACAGATTTCTACACATAGTTTTATTTATCTGGCCCCTGGTCTCTCATTTAGACCTGCCTTTATTTGTCAAAATGTGGAGCCACACCACGCCAGTAAAGTGGAACTGCTTTTAATTGGGACCCTCCTTTTAAAGAACATTTTACCATACACGATGGCTGTAAAATGTTTTTATATTGTATGTTCTGCTGACAGTAGAAAAAGCAAGTAAAAACACACTGTGATATACCATCATTGCCACCCAGCTCTATGTTGTTTTTCCTTGCTGTATTGTTTAACGTCTTTCACTTATGTTATCTACATAACTTCAGTAATGTACATATTTTAAAGCAAACCATAAGTTTTGTTGCCTAAACCTAACCATACTGCAAACCATTTCACAAAGTCACGAGTACTGTCACCGTGCCAACAAAGGCCACCTGACTTTGTCCTTTTCCTTCATGTCAAAAAATGCATCATCTCTAATGGCGTTAAATGACACACGAAAAGCTTAACTTGTGTAGACTCCTTAAAGGACCAGTGTAGGATTTAGTAGCATTTAGTGGCAGATTGCCACACCTTCGCCTCACTCTCTCCTTCCAAGTGTGTAGGAGAAAAAACAAATGGCGCAATCTCGAGCCAGTGTTTGGTTTGTCTGCTCTGGGCTACTGTAGAAACATGGCGGACTCTGTAGAAGAGAACACACTCCCTCTGTAGATAAAACAGCTCATTCTAAGGTAACAAAAATACAACTATTCTTATTTTCAGGTGATTATATACTAGTGAAAACATACCTATGAATATTATATTCCAGTTCTGACAATAGATCCTCCTAAATGGACTGAATCCACTGGACCTTTAAATGTGGCGTGCTATTTATACTCCATCCCATGATATTATGTTGGAATGTAGTGAAAAGTGAAGGAATGAAATGGTTAGGGACAGAAAGGACATTTCTCTGCCTCTCAGCTTGTCCTTTAACAGTGGAGTGGACTGGAGGATGACTGGTGGCTCAAAATTACACAGGGTTATGAAACAAGTGGAATCCAAGCTTTGTTTTTCATGACAATGAAGCACGCTGTACTATTCCACAGCTTAAAGGGATGTTTCATGTATTGGGGCAAATAAAAGAAAGCTTAAAAGAGTCTCTTTTTACCCTGTTTCCATAGAAACATCTCATTTACATACATGTTTTATTTTTGTTCTTCCTGGGATCAGACCTTGTCATATACAAAGAGCAGTTGAAAATTGGCCTGAAAAAGACTTGAAAATTCCACTGTTGCTGTACAAAATTATCTTTTTTCCTTGTTCTTTTTTTTGTTTTTGTTATGTCAGAAGTAGCACCTGTGTGCTTTTACATACGCACTTTATAATGTTACTTTTAAAGCTGGAAATAGCTTTTCACCACTCAATAAAAATATGTATATTTTCATAGAATACTCCCACTGCAAGCATTATTATCATTATCAATAAGTTTGTTATAACAACGTTATGAGACAGTAACACTGTACGTTATTAATGATGGTATCCCAGAGTTTGATAAAGCTCATACTTCCTCTGAGGATGTATCTCCTCCAACAGACAGAGTTTGCCTTTGTTAGGTGATTCCAATTCTGTCCTGTTTTACAAACTGCTGGGCTCTGGCCTCCAAGCCCAGATCAAGTGTTTAACCTGAAGAGCGTAGGAGAGGAGAGGAGAAGCAAGAGAAGGACAGCTGGTGGAGGGAGGGAGGGAACTGGAAAAGAAGGAAAGGGAGGGCCTCAGTGGAACCGCTGGACTCCAAATCTTGGATCCTTGGTGTCCCGGATTTCGATCTGGAGAAGGAACAGAGAGAGAAGAGAGAGATGTCTTCAGGACAGCTACAGCAGAGAAAAATACATCCACGTGGCTGGTCAGGAGAGAGAAAAGAGGGGATAACACAGGAGGGCCAGGACTCATTCTGTTAACTCATTTCAACACTGACAAACACTGAGTTGTGTTTTAGGAAGAGACAAATGTCACAAATGCATAAGAACCCCTCCAGACATGTATTACAACATATACAAATAGTCTGTCTGGAACATGTGTGTCTATCTAATACGTTTTTTCTGCAAAAAAAAGTATAAATTTCCACTATTATAAAATCAATCTCCTCCTTCTACCTCATTAAAACTTCCAGAATCTCTGAATATGCAAATGTTGTTGATTTCTAAAGTTTCCCTGCTGGACGTAGATGAATGTGAAAATATCCTAGTTAGTTAAAAGGAGTAAGTTAAAATTTGAGTTGATCGTTTAAATACTAGTAAAAAGCCTTTGTATTTTTACATTTACTGGGAACTAGAATCAGACCTGTCTCCTACTTGGCTCTAATTGCTTGCTTTCGTTCAGGGAATTCTGATCTTTCCTCAACTTAAAGCATGCTTTAGCAGATACTGTCAAAGAAACTCTGCTCTTTAGGCCCTTTTGAGCCTTTTGTTTTAGAGAAATACTCTGTTACAAGTAAAAGACCTGCATTCAAATACAGTATCAGAATCAGAATCAGAATCAGAAATACTTTAATAATCCCAGGGGGAAATTATTTCATTTAAATAAAGTATAGTATAGTATAAACCAGTATTACCATCAAAATATAAATCATCTTACATTGTTGGATTATAGTTACTGATGCATTCATGTATTCAACACTGGAGTAGAAGTATAAAGCAACAGAAAATGGACAGTATAGTGCAAGTACCTCTAAATTGTATGTACTACAAGGAGTTGTGACAGTCTCACTTTAATACTGATGCCTCTATATGACCTTCATAAACAAACAAAACCATCAGAGAGAAGATTGGATATTTCTGTTATTCTTAATGCCTGCCACGGGTCGGATTCCCCTTGAAATCAATGAAAGGAGGCAGTAGAAACACGAGGGGCTTTAAGTACAGTACTTTCTTAAATGTACTTACTTCCCACCACTGCTAGGATGCAGAAAAACACCAAAGCAAATATCAGCTCATCCACTACCTTTTAGATCTGTTTTGGTCTTCACCATTGACAATGTATAATTCGTGGACAGAGCTTCCAGGTCTGTGAAGTGAAACCAAAGTGGAAGTGTCTTACAAAAAGGTATTAACTGTCTTAAACAGTTTCCCAATGGGTTTATGGTCTCAATCTCTAGTTTTAGTCTTCTTCCATACAGCATGATGTTCATTTAGTAAATGATGGTCCCATTTACAGTAAAACAGACCATAAAGCAGGGTATGCTTTAGGGCGGAGCTAGCTTGTGATTAACACGCACCAAACTCAGATCAAACTGTCAAACTAGGCAGTGCTGATCAAAGATGGATCCAGATTCTGTTACTGTGTTGACTATTTCTCGCCTCAAATCTTTTCAGAAACATTTTTTGTGTACTGTTTATCTGGAATACGAGAATGTGTATGATGCTCTTGTTTGCCAATGAGAACAGCTCAACTTGCAGTACGTCATCGTTGCTTGCTGCAAAAAAAAACATCATAGTGACCACCATAATGTCAAACTCAAGGCTATAGAAAGCTGGTCCGCAAACCAATGGGCCAATAGGTTCACACTTGCTCTCTACCAAATCCATTTGCTACCTAGGTGCTCAATATTGTACAAGTGATTCCCTTTCCAATTACACAGTCCTTTTGATTCAATGTTAATATCAGAAATAGTGATTAATCCAAATGTTTGACTCTAGAAACCATTAAAAGCTGTTCGACTTGCACCCGCCATGTTATCTCCTCATCATCATTTGTGATTTCAGATCGTCATCTCTGCACTTAATCTCCTTCCTGTGTTGGCTGCTCTGCTCCATTTGGCTGCAGATGGAAGAGAGGAAAGAGGCGGCAGAAGGGCTCTGACATATGAGTCAGTACGAGCCGGCAAGATGTGGAAAATGAAAGGGACCAAAAACAAACATAAAGAAACATGCTAATGCAATGGGCTTGAAAGGTCACACCATCATACATTTTCTCTCACATTTTCCAGACTCCCTTTAACACAAGTAGTGCTATCATAGAGAGCTTTTGTTTTCTCTATTTGTTTAAAATGTATAACCTGCTATGTACAGGAGGGTCAAAGAACAGAGCCGCACACTAACAGAAACTCCTTATAAATAAAGAAGCGACTTATTGGCCTGTCAATAACTAGGTCATCATGACCATTTAACTCTGCATCTCAATTAAGCAAGCAGCAATCTGATTTGCTATCCTATCCCTCCATTATAGCCCCAGTCAGAGGCCTTTGGATGAACCTCCTGATTGGCTGGGTGGAGGGATGGGTTGGGTTGATGATGGCTGACCTCTGGAGCAGGATCTTAATAGCTGTAGCACGTTCTGATGGTTCATCCTCCACGGGGACCAACTGAATGAAATTTGCCAAAAGTAAATGTGAGGACAGGGAGAGAAGTTGGGGGAATTATTGTGTTATTAATCTGGAACACGAGGCCACTCAACACCCCCAGAATGTTGTTGCTTCAGCCAGCTACACGCTCTCCTACAAACTGCTCAGAAGTATGAAAAGGGTTAGTTCACCTCCTGAACCGTATTCTCTGTTATTCCATTTGTTACTAGTCCAGTGTGACAAGTGAAAGTGAAGCTTGGTGGCAGAATTTCACTGAGGAAGATTGACATGCTAGGAGTCAGTTGCAACATTCAAATCTCAGCTGTTATACTTTCCATTTATATCTATAATACAATGTATCGGTCCGCAACACACTGTACGCACAACAGACACATCCAACAACAAGACACACAAGCAGTCTCTGAATATTTGGACATTTCTAATGCAGTCAAATATTGACTGAAACTGTCTCTAGGTATATCCTCCTGACAGTAGTACATGAGACAGATAATCTGTAAAAAAAAATCTGGTTCCTCTGGCTTCTCCAACACAACCAATCAGAGCCTTGTGTCGGGCTCTACGACGTAGGGTGTTAGAGTAGACCACTATTTGTATATATACTGTATTAGTTGAATCAATTAATGGTTATCAAAAATTTGAATTATCAAAAGATAAGAGAAAATGACTTTAATTAATATTAAAGTTCCTCGGGGCACCACCTTTAAATAAGGGAACGATAACCAATAATCGATTGATCAGTCTCATAAAAATTACACTAAACTATTAATTCAGAAGTCAGATTAATAATTAAATTAATAATGACAACCAAAATCATTAATAATAGCTGGAGTGGGAGCTTAGGAGTTCTACATAGAAGAGGTTGGTATCACTCACTCTTGTACGTTAAATAGGCCAGCATATGTAAACACAAACATTTATTAACCAGATATAATAAAAGCAAACAGAGGAAAAATACACAATATACAATCTAACTTAAAAGAACTAAAGGTGTGTGTGTGTGTGTGTGTGTGTGTGTGTGTGTGTTTATGGTAGTCATAAAAGGTCCTCTGACCAGATGTTTCAGGATGTGAAACATGTGCCGGTGAGAGACAGAGAGATGGAAGAAGCGGGAGGATTTGAATCCCCCTCCACGTGTAGACCAAATATGTGTGTGTATGATTTTTAGATTAACGGTGCCTTAAGGGAGTTAGTGTATGCAAAGACGTTGTCTATGTGAAGCATTAAACTAACATCACCTTAGCACTGTCTCAAAGACTACAGTAACCTCAGTTAATCAAATCAACATCACAATACCACAGTAACCTGAATAAAACACATCAGCAACATTAACAATAATTAAACATGTCCTTGTTTAGCCGTTAACTCTGTTAAGTTGTCTGTCTATGCCCAGTACGTTACCAACAGTCCAATGGAGATGAAAAAGAGTTTGGTCGAGTTGCGTGGGTCAGCCAGTGGTCCTTTGAGCCAGGCTGATCAGAATTGTGGTTCTGAAGTCCAAACAGTCTGCTGTGCGATGTCCGCTGGTGCAGGTATCGCAGGAAAAAGCAGGCCTTTGTGCCGTGCTATAATCCTATTGTAGTGCGTCGTCAGTGGGTCAGGCCGCACTGAGGTCCAGAACTTATCACCCAGTGTGGGTGTGAGCGAGTTGAAGGAAGATGAGAAGAGAGGGAGAAGAGGGAGAGAAGATCATCTCTCTGGCTTAAATAGCCTTGATGACAGGTCTGGTGTCAGAATGAATCTTGACCAATCACCAGCCGGTGTTTGGTCGTTTTATGGCTTTTTAAAACAGACCCCGCATTCTGTGACCCCCACTTGAGGTTTCTTATCTGGCGGACGTGTGCCCTTTGTCTAAACGACTACCACAATCAGGCTTTTACTGGTACATACCGGCCTCAGGAGAATTCCTTTGTGTTTCTGAGCACATGGTCAAAAGGAGCCAGAGGAACCAGATATTTTCACAGATTATCTGTCTCATGTATTGCTGTCAGGATATAGTGAAAGTTTGTGAAATGGTTGAAAATGGAAATAGATCAAAGCAAACTTTTATTTTGAAGGATGCATGGTCCACCATCATGTTTTCAAAGTGTTTTTGGTATGTTGTCAGGATGTTCTTTTGAAAAGGCGTACATTGTTTCACACTAAGTTTAGATACCTTTCCATAAATGGGAAACGTTGGAGTCATAATTGGAAGTATAATGGACAGTTTTTGTGATGTAAAGTTGGGCATTTTAATATGTGTCCTAATGGAGATTGACTCACTGCTGGAGCCAGCCTGTAGTGGCAATTGGAGGAACTGCTGGTTTTGATATGGAGGTTGCCGCTGGGTTGAACCACAATGTGTTTTTTTCTTCTTGTGCACAGATTAAACAAACCGGATACAACCTGTCAATCGGTGATGGTTTTTGGACAGAGCCAAAGTAGCTGTTTCCCCTGCTTCAGGTGCTTCATATGCTAAGCTAAGCTAATTACTTGCTGGCACCAGCTTCATACTTAACAGAGAGATATGAGAGTGGTATCAATCAAAAGAGTGAATGTCAAGATCTGAATAGCCTAACGTACACGTTGATTGTTCAGTGCTAGTTGTTAAAGAAATCCTCAGTAAAATATAAATTAAACAGCACTTCATTCATCAGTGGTATAAAACACAAAAAACTCATTTTCTTGAGAGCAAATTCAATACAAAAGCAAACTGAGAAGTAAAAACGGGTTCACAGTGCTTTTCCCTTTACAAGACAGAGGAGAGGACAGCCATCAGTTTGTCACAAAGAGGAAGAGGTAACCGAGTGCATGCAAGGGTGACATGCTGCAGAGCTGGGTCAACATGTCATATAAATTAAAAACGAATTGGTCTTACTCCGTCCATTCGTAGAGAGGAGCCAAGATGGAGCTAAAGGGAGGAAAGAGCAGTTTTTAAAAAGAGATCATCGTGGTTTATTTCTCTTGACAAACGTCTGTCTAAAGAAAGTGGACAGAGCCTGTTGTTACAAACAACTCGCTGTTTCACATTCATATCAGTTGAAACACACACACTGGGAGCTGCCCTAGATGTGTGGCAAAAATCTTGCGATACGATATGTATAATGACACAGGGGTTATGATTCAATATATTCTGATTTATTGCGATACTGTAAGCAAGACAATATATTGTAATTTTATAAAAAATCTAATTTTAGGAAAACTGTCACAATCTAAAGGGGATCTCAACTTTTCGTAACTTAAGGTCCACTTCTGAAAATAAACTGGACTGTAAATGTGTTATGCTGTAATTACAAAAAATAAATATACCATATAGCTTTCAAAGTGGCTTTAGATTCAGCTGTCAATGTTGTGATGACTTTCTGTTGTGTCTGAAGCGTGTCCCTTTTCCTTAGGAAATTCTCAAGCTTCCCAACCGATCCCGGGTGCTTTGTGTTTAAGTGTCTCTAGAGATATTGATGGTTTTAGCGCCTCATTCAACATTCTGTGCTTTTGCCTAAGCATCACTGCCTGCCATTATGAATCCAGATTATTCATTATTCAGTCACATTTCCCTGACCACACGCTTTGCAGCTTTAACTGGCCCAGGGTCTTCTCCCACATCCCTTTTTTGGGATGCTGCACTGCATCCAAGAGAGTGTTAGCTAGCTCAGGGGTTCCCATACTTTTTCATGTCAAGGACCCCCACAGTATGCACATTAGACCATGGACCCTGAATTTGAGAGTCTTCATAGTCAATCCAACTGGGATCACTGTAAATTGTAATGTATCAATAAAAACCGCCCTATGTCTAACCTTGTTCCAATTTCCCCAAAAAAGTCCTAAAATATTCTATAATTCCTCTTGCTGGCTGGGTACCCCCTACAATCCACTGAAGGGCCACTGTTGGTCCCCAGACGCCAGTTTGAACACCACTGAGCTAGCCAACTGTAGCAAAACCTGCACTCTAAACAACAAATTCAATGGACCTATTGTCAACACATTAATAAATGCATGGTTTCAAAATCAAACTTATAATTCATTGATTTAGATAGATCTTTTAAGTTGCTAACATTATTTTGATGAGTTGTGTTGACATAAAAAGTTCATTATTGGTCAACTTAAAAACTTTATGCTACCAATTATTATAACATAACTCAGTGTACTACATTTGTTGAACATAAACGGAAAGTTTTTTGTTGCGATTGGCGTGATGATATTCTAACATGAAAATATTATATACAAATAACTAGCTTTGTAAATTACCCCCATTTTAACGATTTGGCAGTGCCTCTGAGGCCCACTTCATGGCACCCACCATTGGTGGAGAATGGCTGATATAGACACACACACAATGCCTTGTAGCTCTACATCTACTTCCAAAGAATACATTAACAATATGATGCCGAAAACTGATATTATAATATTTTCAGTGTTATTTCTTTTCATTTTGAGACATGTAAGACATTAGAGTAGGCAGAAAAAAACATGGAGGCACATTAAGAATTTCTTCCTCTTGTAGAATACTAAGAGCTAGAGATGATTTTCTTCATGCTGGTGCTTTGAACAATTTATTCTTCATGCACCGCGGAGCCCAGCTGCTCACGTCACATTTGTGTTTGTGGGATTTCTTTTGGTAGATCAGCTTGGCTTGCAATTAGGCTGTTTTTTCCCCCCGTTCTGTCTTCCTTTGATGCTGACGTACACACACAGAGAAAGCTGGAGGGCCTGGCGTACGCAGCAGACACACTCCACAGTGAAAGGCCTTCCTCGACTTGACGTCTCCTTTCCACTCTCAGTGTGCCTCGCTCCTTTGGGAAAGAGTCGTGCCTGGGGATGTTTCCTGTGACATATACCACCTTTTGTTTGCTCACTGATTCCTTCTCTTCTTCTACCCCTCTGCCTCTGTAAGCACATCCCTTTAGCCTGCCCACGACCCTTGAATGGAATACATTACTTTACTGGGGCCTTAAATGTGACCAAACATCATTTGTCTCATGAGGAGGAGTGCAAAATATCTGACCTGACACCAGGTAGCGTTGGCTGAGGGCAAACTGCACTCTCTGAACAGGAAGGGATCACTGTGATGTTTTAAATTGGCAGCTACATGCAGGATTACTTGAGTAGAAAACAAGGTAGTTTGGTTGATAACTGGTTCTAATGTATCGATTTGGTTTTTCAGTTCTTGGCTACCGTAGAAACATGGCTGTTCAACACGGTGGCCTCTGTAGAAGATTCTTATCGCAACTGTGGCTCAGGAGGTAGAGCGAGTCATCCACTAATTAGAAGGTTGGTGGTTTGATCCCTGGCCCCTCTTGCTGTATATCGAAGTGTCCTCGAAGATGACATTTGTTGTATTCATAATTTCATTTGTCTCCTTCATGCAATGTTTTCGTCTCCTAGTCTTTTGAAACAATACGATAACACGTCGATGCTGCATTTACATTGCAGGAAATACACAAGACGAAGTGGAAGAAGAAGTGGAAGCAACAACTACATCACCTTTAAATAAAAAATGTCGTCTCCATGCTCTCTTTACAGCCAACTTAAAGGCCGAATTGGTTCTCAGTCAAATGTAAACAAGTTTCTTAAATTCTCATATCACCATTTATATTTTCTTAAATTTGCATATTCAAAACCCATATAAAAACGATGGAAACTCAAGGCAGCGCCTCCTCTCAGGCTGCATATGAAATCCCCTGCTTCTTTGCCTGGGGAAATACACAGTGTGGGTGAACAGTAACTGCTGCCTGACAGGCTCAGCACAGGGACACAGAGCCCCATGCCTTTCTTTCTCACACACACATAACAGAGGCCTCTGAGTGCTTCTGTCAGTGTTAAGCACGTAACACATGTATTATACAGTACTGTGTATGTGTGTGGTACAGTGTTCAGATACATGTTAACATGTTTTAATCTTACATACCAACATGTGTATCATTATCCTGTTTATGTTTTTAGCCCCCTCATACCTGCCCGATAGTTTCAGAAGTGTTTACTGTGTAAGCAATACTCATTGGACACACACACACACACACACACACACACACACACACTGCTGTGCATTACCACACTATACAGACCATTCACAACCATGACACCACACACTCATCACTCACCACATCAACAACAGTGTGAACTTACCCTTGACACAACGAAATCTGTAGAAGAGACAGAAAGAGAGAGATTAATATTTTTCCATTTCCTTTAAATAAATACACAACATACACAATACACTATATAGAGTGCAGCAGTATCAGTGGTCCCTCTTTAATCCTCTCCTTTGGGATTTAAAGCTCCACCAAAATCCTTTCTAAATAAATGAAAGTGATTTTACTGCATTTGACCATTCAGACAAACAAAATTAGTCATTAGTAATATTTTTACTGTATTACACTGGCAACATGAATGTACACTGGTATTCATTGACATAGTGTGTGTGTGTGTGTGTGTGTGTGTGTGTGTGTGTGTGTGTGTGTGTGTGTGTGTGTGTGTGGCATGCATGCCTCCAGGTCTTCATGTTCTGAACTTTCTGGTGTATTAAATGCTACCAACCAGGTACGGCTGTTTCTACTCATTGTGTTGGACGCCAGCTCTACCAGGTGAGCTAACCGGGTGCCCTCATTGTGCTTGTTGGTTTTGTTGTACCTGTGAAGTGGGACAGCTTTCATAATCATTTTTATTTGTACGTAACGTTTGGTGACCTCACGTAATTCACAGCATAACTCCAGCCAACTTCAACCTGAGTTGATCAGGCTGAATAACTGAAAACACCTGTGTCCGTGTGCAGGGCAGAGTTTACCGATGATCATTATAGTGTTTTGCAGTCTTTGATTTTAGCCGCAAACAGCAAACAGGCATGTTCCCCTGAGAACACTGTTTGTTGAAACAGCACACAGTGAAAACATGTGGGTGACAGGTCGGATAAACAATTACTCCAGCTCTTATTTTCTGCCACTGCCTCTACTTTAAGCTGGATCTGTAGTTCTGCATTAATAGGTTACGTACGTATAGGCTAAGTAGCTACTCCAGCAAGTTTCTGATGATGGTAGAGAGTGAAGACAGCAGTTGTAGAAAGAGAACTAGAACTAGAAGTTGCAGTTTACATCCATGTCCGTCCAGACTCATGTGGTGCGGATTTTGATGGAATTATATAAAAGGTATAAAGTGTATTTTTTGGCTAAATGGAAGGTATCGCTCTATTGATGGTACATATTATGATTAATGAAGGATTATAATAGCTATATATAGCAAAGTATAGCTATACAAAATGTGGTGTTTTTGTTTTCTCCTGCCATTTTTAGATGTGATGCTCGACATTAAGAATGAGGCAGAAGTGAAAAGCAGAATGGATGATTAGGGAAAGATGAAAGCCCATCCTATGCTATTGGTTGTGTTGTTGTGTATTTGTTATTTCATTGTGTCATCTCAGTAGTGTGTGAAATCTGAAATTGGCCAATCCATTTTTAATTATGGCTAAAAACCTATTTTGAGGACACAATGGCCTGAGTTATGGTGTTGAGTGACGTGAAAAGTGTGGAAATTATGATGGCACAGTGTCGTTGAACTTTGACCTTTTGGGTAAAAACAATTCCCTAATTGTTGTGTTCCATTAAACATCTGTGTGAAATGTTGTTACAATTACAGCATTAATTCTAGAGTTATGACCCAAAACCTGTTTGTCAAGGTCAGTTTGAGGTCACAGTGACCTTTGACCTCTCTGTCACAGTAAACCCAGCGCTCTCTGGATGAACCTTTGTCACCACCATGAACCATCTGTGGATGAAACTCATTTTATTACTCAAGCTGAAACATTTTCAAGTTGAGCGAGCAGATGTGTCTTTACATTCATGCTGCCTCGATGTAAGTCACTTCTGCTCAACTCCGTTCATGTTGTTCTATTGACTTGGTCTGTATTTGTGCTGCCCGCGCTGTTTGAGGGACAAGGGTGAAAGAAAGAAAAAAGGGCACAAGCGTGGAGGAAGTTGTGATGCTCTTATCATCACGTTTTCTTCACTAGAAAAGCACCCTTGAGGCCACTTTATCATATATTAGGGGAGACCGGGGCTTGTTGTCACACGGGTAAGTTGTCACATTGCAATTATCTTCTCCACCAAGGGGCGCAACTAAAAAGTGGAATACTAGTTTTCTTCCTTTACATGGTCAGGTGTCATGTCCTGTCTCAGAAGAGGATAGCACATTGTGAGCTGAGATGAGCACCAAGTAACCATTTTGCACAACCCAAAGTAAAAATATCAACTTTATATATTTCCCAATAAGCTTCGTTCAGATAAAAATCCTAACAGTGATACATGTGGACTTGTTAGAGGAGAGATTAAGGCATCCTGTCATACCTCAGTCATTGTTGTGTTTTAAGCAAACTTTAATCTAGAGCTAGTGTTAGCAAACATTGTAGTTTGGGGCAACATGTCTCAGTCATTCTGGGGTTAGTTGTCACACGCATATTGTGATGAAAATGCATTGCATATATTGACTTGCAATTTTTTAACACTATTATTATAGTGCATTATTATATTATGCACTATTATAATAATATTATGCAATATTACAATAATATAATATATAATATAGTACAATATTATGCAAAGGATGGGCCCATGAAGAATGCACCTCTGGCAGATCAGTCTACGTATGTCAGAACTGCGATGCGGATGATGAGTCTGACTGGTGAGGACATTTGTTTGTCAGGTTTTGTTTGAGTTTTTATGAATGGATCTTCCAGTTGTTGTTGGAACTATGTCCACATTTCAGGACTGGTTTAAGTTTGATAATGAACCAATGCTTTCTTTTTCTGTAATTCAATTCAATCTGGAATTTTGAGCTTAAGAAAGGTAAAACGCATTTGAGTCTGAGAGCCATTGCCTATGTGCCAGCAGTTCCTAAGGACTTTAATCCAGTGCATGTTGCATATTATTTTATGTTAACGTTTGTTCAATGGCTTTTTAAAGCTCAATGACAAACTTTTTCTGTGCCTGACTTCAATGTTCACTTTCAAGTAAAAAAGAACAACAACAATAATTTTGTCCTTGTTATATAGTTTGCTCTTTAATTTGGTACACATTTTTTTTTTTAATATGATGTATTGATTCCAAGAAATATATAAGAGTGTAAAAAGTGTGACAACAAGCCCCGGTCTCCCCTATCTATCATAGGGGCATCCAAATAAAATACTGATACTAATATTGTAGCATTTTTTCAAACATGGGGCCCCCCGTTGAATCCAACAGTGGTGCTACCTCTCCATTTTGCTTCCTGTACTGAACTTTTTTGTGCACAGATGACTTTGAAGACATCAGTGCAGAAATTTGGGGAGAGTTTATTTTAATGTCACATTCAAGTATGATGTCAGGCAAATGTGTGGTAATGACACCTGCTCAGGTTTACAGACTCACAGATGCAAAAGGTGCTTTACAGATGCAAAAGATGCTTTACACAGAGCGGAATAAGGATAGAGAGAAAGAAAGAGAGAGATAATGAAATTTTGGAAGTGGAAAACAGAAGAACTAAAAGAGAGAGACTGAGAAAAACAGAGATGCAAACAGTGAAAGATAGACAGACATAAACAGAGAGAGACATATGCAGTGAGAGGGAACCACTGCCTCATCCTTCTGGAATCTGACATGTTACCATGGAAACTTCCTCCACACACTCAAAGGAATTGGGGGAGTTTATTCTTTATTTCTCTTAAGGTAGCTCCTCTGATGATGCTGCAATATCTCTCGTCCCAGCACTTGTCATACACAGAGACCAACATTTACTGTAATATACACGCTATAAATGCATCAAACACAGCTGAAGAACTGTAATTACAATAAGTTTGAAGGCTGTATTTTTATTTTTTTTAGCTTAGTCAGAACTAGTGAGGACATATTAATTCACCATCATTACCAAAACAAAGTTGCTAAATGTCTACGCCCTCAGTGAAGTTTGTGAAACGCTGTTGTGTGCTTACATAAAATCCCTTTTCTTATCAGTTAAAATGCACAACATGCTTATTTATTCAGGTCACGCCCTAGATGAGCAAATTAATCATGCATGCAAACCAATTAATTAACATGTGTCCTCAATTGCGGATGCACATTTTTTAAGGCATCAATGATTTAGTTTAATCAGAGACTTTAAAACTTATTTCATGTTGTTTCTACAATGGGCTGAATTTGGTTGATTGCTTTCATTTTTTTTAAAGATAGTAAGGATACTAACCCAGATGAGCTGGATGAGCTGATGAAGCTGAGGCTGGTTGTCGCTCTGAGCTTCCTCTGTGAGTGTGAGTTCTGCTCTTGGTTGGGCTAAATGACCCTTAAAAATGGATGCTGGTACACTAGCTAACATAGCCCCTAAAATAGTATGTATATTATTGGGGTATAAAGATGCTTTTAGCTAAATCAGACTTTTGAGAAGATAACAGATAGAAATGTGGTGAAAGAATCAGGTGACAGAGATACTGAGGCCTGATGAACTCCACTCTCAGTCTGCTAGGATTTGTTTTGGAGGATTTGCATTGGTCAAAAAGTAGCTGACAGAAACAACTTAGCTTTGTAAATATATATATTAAAACCCCTTAAAGGACCAGTGTGTACGATTTGGTGGCATCTAGCGGTGAAGTTGAAGATTGCAACTAACTGAACATCACATCTGCTTTTTGTCATTTCATGCCATTTCTACTGATTTATATTGTGTTGAGATGGTTTTTTTTTGCACGAACGTCACTGAGAAAAAAATATGACCTGACGTAGAATAAAGAGCCACAATGTCTGTTTGGTAAAGGAGGAGTTGGGGTACATGGATGGCTCAACTAAATGCAGGACACTACTGTTCGTGTTCCGTGTGAAACCAAAAGTCAATGCTGACTTATTATTGTTTAGCTTTTTTGTGTTACGAATTTTACTATGCATGTAACATGACTTAACTTATGTATGTAACTGAAGTGATGTGGCCCTCTGATTTGACCCCAAACCATGATCTTTTCCTAATCATAACCAATTAGGTGTGATGTTTGTAGAGTGTCCTATTGTTAGGATAAAATATTTACTGACATGCTCCATGCATACATCCTACATATTTATTACAGGTGATTTTCATTATCAATTAATCTATTGTGCCATACAAATATTGTGTTATAATTGTCATTGTTTTGGATTTAGTTTAGTTATTTCCTGTTTTATTTTACAATTCTCCTCCTCCTCCATCTTGTTTTTACTTCACTTCTTTGCTTCCTTACTTTTCTCTGTTTCATTACTAGTTTGTCATTGTTCATATGTGTAGCTTTCTGCCTGTGTGTTTCCTTGTATGGACTACTTCCTCAGTTTTTGGACTTTTTTCCTGATTTATTGGATTTTGGATTTTGCCAGCTTATTTTGATTTGGTTTAACCACCATACATCATCTGAACTGCTCTCGCTCTACCTTCAAGTCTACATTTGGATTCCATTCCTCATGTTCAGAAACTCGTTTACAGTTGTAACAACTATACTGTGCGCTATACAAATAAAACAATGTCAAAAATATCAAACATTTTCATAATTATTGCTTATTTTGTCAGAGCAAAGGTGCAAAAACCCAAAGCCACTGAAGTTACAGGACAGTGCCACTGAATGGAAAAAATGCAGTAAATCCCCACATTTTAAATAATAATAATAGCTTGATAGATGTCTTAAATGATGAATAAATTATTTGAATTTCAGTGATTATTGTTGCTCTGTTCTGATTAGTTAACCTTCACAGTTGATGGGACTGCGTGATAGACACATTATTTTGGCTTTTCTTTCTTCCTTTCTGTCCCTGTAATTGGATCACATATCTTTATGACTCCTATAATATTTTAATAATTTCTACCTCTCACCTTTGTTGTCAGCCTTCAGCTCCTCCTGCAGGAAGTCGCTCTGCCGGTTGCCGAGCACGAAGGCCAGGAAGGAGAGGATCAGGGCGTCCAGAATGCCGATGATAGCCAGGATGTAGGCCCAACGCACCGAGCAGTTGCCCAGGGTGTACTTCCCTGTGTCCTCTCCGCACATGTCCCGGATCACCTCGGCATCCCAGCCATTTGGAAAGATCATACAGCCGAGCACCAGACACACGGCTGGAGGGCAGAGAGGGCAGTACAGATGGATATGGTGGTCATATACAGTGTAATGGAATTTGGTTTGTGTGTCAGCCAGTGTGTGTAGCAACATGCAGAGCAATGGGTCAAGGTGACAGGTTTGTGTTCCATTGGAAAGCAACAAAAGAAACAAAATCAATACGGGAAGAGGGTTGAGTCGGAGAAGAAAGCAAGATTGAAAGTCAGAACAATGAAACAGGAGGGCGAGGCAGGTGGAGAGAGAAAATTGGTTTAGGTGTAAAACAGTGTGTCGGACAGAGGGTTACATGAAGTTAATAAGATGAAAGTGAGAGAAAAGAGGTGAGACAGAGAGAGAAAGACAGAATATAATTTTTCTCTAAGTTTGTCGAGGTATATCCAGTGCCTGCCTCATCGCTCAATCTCTTCCCTTCTCTGTTCTTCTCTCTGTTCTCCAGTACAGGCAGGTCTTTGAATTGATGGAGGGAGAAATTGAGAGACGGGCATGCCAGCAGGAAGGAGAGAGACAGTGAAAGGAATAAAGACAGCATGTACAGCAGCTGGCATGCTCTACAGCCATGCTAACACAGAGCAGAGAAAAATCTAACTTGGTTGTTGTCACATCGACACGAAACTGAACATTCATTGAACATCAGTAAAACTTGTTTAGTGGAATATTTGGGAATACTCTTATTTGATATTTCGAACTATAGAGTTGTGGAGGAGCCACTGTTTTGCCCATGAACAACATTATCCTCAATGTTACTTAACACAGAAACAATAATTTAACAATCTCAGATAGATTTATGTTATGAACCACCAGTTTGAATTATTTTGACTTGTCTCTGGGTAATCATGTTTTGTCGGTCATTTTGGAATTGTTGCAGGGTCTAAATTTACCCATGAGCTGCGGCGGCCGTTGCTATGGAGAAGAAGCCAATCCTTCACTGTTGAATTTGTGAACATAATGCACCGCCATGGTTACTGAATTCATTCAAAATTGACCCAGAATTCAAAAGGAAATTGATTTAAGCTGCAGATTGTGTTTTCTGTTTTCCCAACAACTTTCCCACTTACCGTTAGCCGTGCAAAAAGCAGAATTTTGATTGAAATATTTCTGGCTGAAATGCACCTTGGGAGTCGAAGTTAACCTCCTTCAAAGTAGTTATGTACACAAAGCAAGTTTATTTGTATAGCACATACATAACAGCAGCTCATAGTGCTTTACATAATGCATTACAATGGCTTCTACTTTTATTAAACAGCCACATGTGTTGTAATGCAGTTGTAGATCTTTTGCACTGATGATTCAGACGGGAGTATTTAATGTCGATACAAACTGCAAAAGTGTTCCAAATGTGGGTTACGTAACATTGTCTAGGGGAAAAAATGAATGGGACTTTAACCTCCAGAAACAGGGGTGCTCAAAATAGCTCCTACCACTTTGCAGCCTAGCTTAGCATAAACGTTGGAAGCAAAGGGCTCTGTCAGAAGCAAATATACACGTCAAAAGCTCACTAATTAACATGTATCTTCTTGTTGTTGCCTAATTCATACATGAACATGTCACTGTGAGGTTGCCAGATTTGGTATTGTGCCTGTACAGAGACCAAAACCTAAACCTGTGTTGGGCTGCATCTGGCCACACTACTGAGCTCCTGCAGCGAAGTTGCTATTTACCGCCAAGTGCCTTATTGAAGAGCAGAAACAATGTATGGTCCATTAATAACAATGGCTAATTCATTGTTGTTTTATTTGTTAAATGGGACTGGTTTTCACCCACTGACCTCCTATCTCACCTGAGCTCTAAAATGATACCACACCCACCTCCATATCAATATGAGCTGAAGTTAATCAACTATCAAAATCTATTTATTTCTATTTCTTCAATAGCTATAAAGTTTTGACTGTGACAAACAAATCCTGCTGCAGCCTTCTTTTGACTAGAACATGCAGAAACACTAGTCATTATGCACTGTTCAGCATAACTACAGTGGAATAAGGATCAGTGAAGATACAGACTATCTTGTGAGAAAATCAAACTGTAACTGGTTCTATTAAACTCAATGTAACAACAATACAATAGAAAGTAGCCTATGGCGTTTTCCTACATTTTATATTTTTATTAGAAAGTGACATCTGGAGACATGGACTCTAGCAGGTGAGCTGTGGGGGCATCTTGTTTCCTGACTTGTACCTGTTCTACACCTTCTATGACACAAATCAAAAAACTGTTTCAACAGTTAACTTTGGAAATCTAAAATGTACGGTACTGGATAACACACCAAGGGAAAATGAGAGAAACATGTGAAAACCTGTGGGCTGACAAGTTAGTACATATTGTTGGTACGACACATGGTTCTAGACCACTGATGATGTATAATTAGTCGACAGAGCTTCAAGGTCTGTGGAGTGAAGCCAACATGGGAGTACCTTAAGTCTGCATTCTTTCTAATGACCAGCAGGGGGCAGCTCCATGGGCTGCAAAAATAAAGTGCTATTGTATTGAGTCTTATGGCTAAATTAAAATACTTCTCAGTTGATTTATGAGCTCAGTAAATAGTTTCCTAATGGGTTTATGGTCTCAATCTCTAGTTTCAGTCTTCTTCCATACAGTATGATGTTCATTTAGTAAATGATGGTCTCATTTAGAGTAAAATAGACAATAAAGCAGGGTATGATTTAGGGCGGGGCTACCTTGTGATTGACAGGTCATTCTCAGTGAGTCCGTCCAGCTCAACGCACCAAACTCAGGACTCTTGACTCTGTCAAATATGGATCCAGATCCTGTTACTGCGTTGACTATTTCTCTCCTAACATTGTTCCAGAAACATATGTTAGTGTAGTTGTGTACTGTAATACAAGAACCAGGCAAGCCGTCATTGTTTCCTGCCTCCACCACTACATCACCACTGCTGGCTGCAAAAAAAGCGTCAATGGCCATAATGCCAAACTTGAGGCCTCAAAACGGTACTCCACAAACCAATGGGTGACGACACAATAGGTTCACACTTGGTCTAAACACGAAATGCATTTTTGATTTGTTTACCATTAAAAGTAAAGTTAAGTAAAAAAAGACTGAAGACTCGATACAGTGGTCCTGCCGACATATTTGCACACTTACACACACAGACATTCCAAGTGTGTGAATCATACACACCCACATTATATCAGAGGGCCTCAGTGTTTGTGCACATTTGGCACATTCTTGTGTTCTCTTCTTCTGTGGAGAAACTGTGTGTGTGCGTACTCCCATAAGGTCTGAGTGGTCCCCTGGTGTGTAGAGGGTCCAGCTGAGGCCAGGCTGGCCCTGACAGATGGGTCCCTGAATGCCTCATTTACTGGACCACTGCTACTGTTGAGAGCTGTGCCCAGACCAGATGAAACTAAGCTGAGGTACAGGCTCAGTTTGTGTAGGTATGTATAGGACGTTTAGGTTTCATGTGAAATTCATGTGACTTTTATGTCACTCTAGATTACACTGGAATCTAATATGGGCCACATTAAAAAAATAATGTCAACAGCCAAACAAAAAAAAAATCAGATCTGAGCAATAATTCAGAATGTTAACGAAATGTGAATGTAGCCTTGGAGTCCGATGTGAGTCTAATTTCTACTCTCCTGCCTGAGACAGTAAACGGGGTGGATGAGAGCCATAAGAATGAACCATAACAGTAAAGTACAGTAAACAGTTGGCTGTAAAACCAAAACAATGAGCTGAAAGACATTAAAATGCTCTGTAGCTCCAGACTTGTTAGACCAGGGTGGCACAAGTCGTGCACTGACTTACGCAGGGGTGGCATGAAGTATGTGTCTCAGCTTTCCAGTCATTCCTATTTTTTACAATACTGTTAATGGACCCAAAATTCCAATATTTTGCCTAACTTTGGAAGTGTTATTTAGCCCCCTTTTCTTGCTAGCATGACATGGTTGCCAGCTGATACCAATAGATGCATTAGGTCATTCATTATCTTTACTCTAGCTTTAAAATGGAACCCGCTACAGCCTCTGAGAGATCAGTGGAAGAGTTATCAGATTTCATGGGTGGCCAGTGTCCTCCCAGGCCTCCCCTCTGGAAACATGGGTATATCACTACGAGCAACAGCTTTCACATTGCATTTCATAAATTGTTCATAAGAAATATTGATTATTGCACCCTTAAGTTAAATGGAATGCACTAATCAAAGACCTTCTGCCCATCTTAAAACGGTGCTGCATTCAGAAACAGAATTGCACATTCTCCCAGATAGGAAATAAAGGAGACATGATGGTGAAACAGGCTTGACAGGGAGCAGGCACTCAGGAGAGTGCATGTTTTCTAGAATTATTCTGTCTGGTTCAGACTTCCATGTGAGGTTTGGGTCAGTGTCACAAGCTTCTGAACATGTCTTAGTTTTCTATGATACCTATAAACATTAGACAACTACGTCTGTGTTTACTGGCACACTGAAAAAATGACATCCAGTTACTGCAGCGTGCTTCGGAAGTGGCCACAACAGGTTTGATATGGCGTGAAGAGTTTGTGTGTTCCCCATGGTTTTCCTTTAGTCCTGCCTGGCTGACAGGAGTGAACAAGACTCACTCTTAATAATTCATCGAGGCTCGTTTAAATCTGTGTCAGGGATGCTGGGAAGGTTACACTGCTCAGCAGCTAACTCTGCTTCCTGCATGTGTGTGTGTGTACATGCTGATGAGATGAGAGGAGGATTTTGGATCGTCTACAAATTAGTTTGCTCATGTGAAAAGGAATGGATGGAGGTCGTAATGTAGACAGCCACTGTGACCTCTGTGTCTATGTGTTCTTGTAGATCAGCACTGACTTGATCCCATTTTTGAGACACGATACATAGTCGTAGTTTCTCTCCTCACACACTGTGGGCTTCATTCCAGTCTTATACTCTACAGTAATAATACGCTGACCACTCTGGCCTCAGTAAAAGCTTATGATGATATTTATTATTTGACTAAATAAATTGGCACAAACAGACTTTTTTCTTAAGTTTAAAGTTTCTGTGTCACAT